GCCTTTTTTTTTTTTTTTTTTTTTTTTTTACATTTTAAATCACTTTCTATCTGTGACTGGTTGTTCAACACTTTTTGCTAACTGTTAATGCAGTTATTGATCCCAATTTTAAAAAATGGAAAAAATTCTTTATCTGGACAGTTTTGGGAAATTGACTCGTTATGTCAAGAAAAAAAGAAAAATGTACTCATTATTTAGAGAAAACAACTGAAATGTACTGTACATGTTATCACTTGAAATCAACTGAAATGTCCTTTTCATCACAAGAGAACAACCAAAATGTTTTCATTATCATGGGAAAATGAAACAAGATAAACTGTAAGATGCATGCTCTCTTAGGGTTCTGTAAAAAAGTTCCTCTCACATTTTTTTAGTTCAATAATCGTTTCTCTCATTTATTTTTATTTTTTTCAATATCTTCTTAGAACAAAGTCTGACCTGAAAACTAGGAAGGTCTTGTCAGCTAGGTGGGTGAATCGAAACTTGCTTTGAGTAGATATTGATAGTGGGTCGTTGTCAGGCTTTGTTTGGACTGAGCACTTAAGTTTCATTCTCTGAGCATCAACAGGACAGGCAGTGGACGCGTGTCACACCCTCTGTTGATTGCAAGCTGAAAATCTGGGGCGGGATTTTCAGCTTGTCTCTGCTTAAGAAAGCCTCTTCTACCCACCCTTCATTGACTTTTGGCCTCTGGGACTGTCAATCTGCTGTGAATAAAACTGAATTCATCCAAGCACTTGCAAAAATGTCAGACATTCAGGCACTTGCCCTTACTGAAACCTGGATCCGCCCAGAAAACACAGTCACACCAGCTGCTCTTTCTGTTGACACAGTGTTCTCACACACACCTCGCTCTGTTGGACGTGGAGGTGGTACAGGTATCCTCATTTCTAATACCTGGAAATTCAATAAACTCTTCCCACTGAGCAACAACTCCTCATTTGAATATCACACAATCTTGGTTACTGCTCCTATTAAAATGTACATTGCTATCATTTACCGCCCACCAGGGTTTAATCTGAATGATTTTGTTGTGGAACTGGACATGCTACTCTCAGAAATCCCTGATGATGGAACACCACTGATTGTAATGGGAGACATGAATATACACACTGATAAAGCCCAGGCAACAGACTTCCTTGCTCTCCTATCCTGATTTGACCTCACGCAGGTCCCAACTCCTCCTACCCACAAAGCTGGCAACACTCTTGATTTAATTCTGACTCGGAACTGCTCGACAGCAAACCTGACTGTCACCCCTCTGCATCTATCAGACCACTTTATTCAATTCACAATCTCCTTGCCGAAACTCCCTCAGGCACACCCACAAATGGTGTCATACCACCCAAACATGCGATCGCTCAAGCCAGCTCAGCTGTTGTGGAAGGGAGAAGTGTCCAAAGCACACAGCTTGTCCACAGGGGTACCTCAAGGGTCAGTGCTTGGTCCCCTTCTCTTCTCCATATACACAAGCTCACTTGGTTCAATAATCTGCTCTCATGGCTTCTCATACCACTGCTATGCTGACGATACCCAGCTCTTCCTGTCATTCCCGCCAGACGATGTTACAGTCTCTGCAAGAATCTCGTCATGCCTTGCTGATATCTCTAAATGGATGAATGAACGGCACCTTCAACTCAATCTTTCAAAGACTGAGCTCCTTGTCATCCCAGCCAGTACCTCTATGCAACCACAGATCAATATCCAGCTTGGTACAACCAAACTCATGCCCACAAAGTCTGCCTGGAACCTGGGTATCATGATTGATGACCAGCTAACTTTTAAGGTTCAAGTAGCCTCGATTTCCCGGTCATGTCGATTTGCCCTGTACAACATCAGGAAGATCAGACCTTACCTGTCAGAACATGCGACACAGCTCCTGGTACAGGCTCTTGTAATATCATGCATCGACTATTGCAACTCTCTACTGGCAGGTCTTCCTACATGAACTATCAAACTCCTGCAGATGATACAAAATGCAGCAGCACGACTGGTCTTCAACCTTCCTAAAAGAGCACATGTCACTCCGCTGTTCATCTCCTTACACTGGCTCCCAGTTACTGCTCACATCAAATTTAAAACTCTGCTGCTCGCTTACAAAACAGCGACCAAAACGGCTCCTCCTTACTTTAACTCTCTCATCCAGGTCTACACTCCCTCCCGCCCACTACGCTCTGCCAATGAAAGGCGTCTGATCCAACTTCACAACAGGGTCCTAAGTCTCTGACTAGACTCTTCTCCTCTGTCGCCCCCCGGTAGTGGAATGAACTTCCAAACTCCATGTGATCTGCAGAGTCCCTCTGCACCTTTAAGAAAAAGCTAAAGACCCAGCTAACCCTTTCATGAATACCTACTAACTTAATGATGATGGTCTCCATATTATTGATGATGATGATGGTAATGGCGATGGTTTTTGTTGGATAACGACGACTTATAAGATGGTTTCTATACTGATTAGAGCTCTCAAGAACTGCCCTCAATGTTGTGGTTTGCCTCTGGTCACTTCCTGTCAGCACCTGTGTGTCCAATCAGACTCAAAGCTGATCGTTTGCTGTTACTGACATTGTTCCTTTTTTCTAGATCCTTGCTTGTGTTGTACTTACTCTCTGATGTACGTCGCTTTGGATAAAAACGTCTGCTAAGTGAATTGTAGAATAACTTGCCAGAAAACCTCCTTACTTCAAGCTTATTTGAAATATTATTTATTATAATGTGGTGCAGGCAAAGATCAGTCAAAGCTTTTCATTCATATTTGTAAAAAACATTATTGTGAGAACCGCACGTCATCACATAACTCCTGTCTTTACTAATCTAAACGTTTACTCATTAGGGAACATGACATGGTGTAGGTTACACAGTGTTATTTGTATCTGAGTAAACAACTGATGACCCTGATGACACCTTTCACACACATCCAGGCTGATTTGACCTTGGAGGAATGTAGGAAGGGGAAAAATTGAAGCGGCGTACAGGAATGTCTTTGTTGTTTCCTCCCGTCTGCGCTACAGTACATTCCTCTCCTCCCCGATCATCAGCCAGCAGCTCCCAGCAGGATTCATTTACCACACTATACATTCCTCTTCATATACATCCTAATCCTGTGTCAGCCCACACTCCACTATACCTAATGGTGCCTCATACCAGGGGAAGATTGATGTTAAAAAGCCCGCTCCCTCCATTCCTTAGATACTGTATTTATAGATAGACTTCAGAAAACGATTGTCGGCTCAGATCCCTGCATGGAAACATCATTCAAGAGTAAGAGCAGAAGCAGCAGGTGAGATCAAGAAGTGATCCTGAAGGGCCTACCAGAAGAACATGATTAAAAAGAAGTGTAATCCTGACTTTGAGTTTAAAGAATACTTTTCTAAATCGAGGCAGATGATGCTGAGACATCCTAAAATATAGTCCCTACATCAAAAACCTCTACATCCTATTTCTCTTATAATAAAACAAATCATTTGACCCTCTCGAGCAATGAAGCAAAACATGTACAACATGAAGTATAATTTTGAGATTTAAAAAAAATCATATTTATGAGACTCAAGGTTGAAATAATAAGAATAAAGGCTGAAAGAGGGATAAAGGGTCAAAGTCAGAAAAGTCGGAGATGTGAGATCACAAATCCACAAAGTAATAAAAAGTCTGATTTTTCAAAATAAAAGTCACTATTATGAGATAAAATGTCATTATAGATGGATACATGTTTGGAGCAATGAGACATATGTGAGATAGAAAGTTATCAATATTAAATACAAAATATCAAGCTTGTGAAATAAAAGTTAAAAATTCATTATGAAGGTAAGAATATGAGATGAAAAGTCATGAGCATGAGCTAAAAAGATTAACTGTTGAGATAAAAATAGAAATCTTGAGCAAATAATTCACAAGTCTAAATGAGATATAAAGTGAAATGTTTGTTATCAAAAGTGAAACCCATTAGATAAAAATATAAATGTTGAGTTTAAAATGGATATTAAGAGATACAACAATGAAGAAATTTAATAAATGACAGAAAAACTCAATTTCAAGATATAAATGATAAGAATTAAAGTCAGAAAAATGATATGAGTGAGAACTATGTGATTTAAAGTCATGAATATTGATAAACCTTCTTGTCGATATTCTTGGTAAGATGTTTGTTAATGTGTTCCTAAAATAAAACTCAACTTTTCTCCTGAAGAAGATGAACCCGATAACCTGCGCAGTGTCACGTTAATATCCCCCCACTGAGCTCAAATCCATCAAAGTCAGAGTGGACAAGTCAGACTCCAGATCTGACCCCAGACATGCCCACTAAAAATGTTCAATTGTAAGATTACATGTCCAAATTAAAGTGAGATTAAAAGTTACAAGGAAGATATGAAGATAAGATAATAAGATTAAATAATAATGATGATTTCATAAAAAAAGGGTTAGGGTTAGGGTTAGTCCTAAGTCCAAATAAAGATATGAAGTGAAAAACAGCGGAAATTATGAGATACAAATTTGAAATTATGAGACAAAAAAGTCATAATAATACGATTTTAAAGACATAAATTCAAAGATATGAAATAAATTGAAAATGATGAGATCAAAAGTCAAAGTTTTTCTTTTGTAAAGCATCCTTGGGTTTTTTTGAAAGACACTATATACCAAGCTATTATTATTATTATTATTATTATAGACATGAGGTAAAAACAGGAGGATTTGAGATAAAAAGTAAAACAAATTCCATCCAATATATGGGAGAAAATGAGAGATAAAGTGAGGATTGAAGAGTGAGTTAACAAGATAAAAGAAATTGCAAAAAATGTAAATTGTAAGATAAAAATAGGAAGATATGAGATCAAAAAGTCAAAAATTCCTTTAAAAAATTTAAAAAGTGAGATAAAAAGTCCAAATTTAGACATATAGAGAATGTTATGAGATCAAAAGTCGTAAGCATGAGACATTGAGATCAAAATGAAAATATTGACATTAAAAGTCCCACTCATTGCATGTATAATGTGTGATCTGACCTTGCAGCCGTGGCAGTAATTTTCTCCATTCTTCCCTGGAGGAAGGATGATTTCCCCCGTCGGGATCAGCTGGATCCTCAGTTCCATCATCCTTTCTTTGAGTTGTCTGATTGTCCAGTTGAGACTTGTTTGCAGCTGTTTATTCCTCTCTGGTGTGTCAGAGGAAAAGTGCTTCACCCCTCAGATCCAATGACAAAACCTTTAGGATGAGCACAAAGAGAGCATGAATAAGACAATCCCAAGAGAAGCCTGAAAAGCTCAAATCAGACCGTTAGAGACCTTAACCCTCGATCGGAACACATCCAAGAGGACCACAAATCTCTCCTCTGCATGCACATGTCGGAGGGCTTACCTGACAAGGAGTTTTGCCTCCTGACATTAAGATGAAGCAGTGATCCGAGCTCTGAGGTTTGTTGTGGAGGTGTTACCTGTTGCAGAGCAGAGAGACACAGTGAGGCCAGCTTCCTCTCGCTGCAGCCAGAGGATGTTGCCCCTCCAGTTGAGGGATCACAGGGCGGATATGGAGCCTGACCTGAGATGGCTGTCACATTAAGAGGATATGTGTCTTTTGTCTGTGTGTGTGTGTGTGTGTGCACTGGGAGATAAAAAGTGTGTGTAACATTTAAAAACTCATTTGTACTCATTTGTTTTTATCTTTTTTTTTAAACACTAATTGATGTTGTGCATCGTATTGTGTAAATATTAAAACATGCTCAATATGGGTCACATCTGATATATGATGATTGTGGTTGTCTTGGGTTTGTGCTTCTCTGTTTACATGGAGCTTTGTTAGCTTGTCGATCGTTAGTGTATGAGACAAAAAACAAACTAGAGTTCAAGACACATTTTCCAAGACAAAGTCTGACATATCATATCATATCATATCACATGGTATTTTTTAAATGTACATTACTTAATACAACTGTGGTAGTTTTTAAAGAGCTAAACAAATAAAGTTGGATTGGATTGGATTGGATATTGTATTGTCTTGAATTGTGTGGTATTATTTTGTATTGTTTTGTATTATAAACTCTTGTATTGTATCGTCTTGTGTCATATCCCATGGTCATATCGTCTTGAATTGTTTCGTATTATCTTTCATTATATTGTATCACCTTTGTATTGCTTCCCACTGTCTTGTATAATTTGTATTCTATAGTCTTACATTGTTTTGTCTTATATTGTCCTGAATCTTATTATCACACTTTAACATCATATTGTATATTATATTAAGATAATCCTTTCTTGATCCCCAGCGGGGAAATGATCACTTATCATCTTGTATCATATCTCTTTCTATCGTCTTTTATTGTACCATCCATTGGGTTGTGTTGTATTTTAATTTGATCATATTGTTGAACATATTGTGAATTAAGCTGTAGTTTCTTTCTTTTTTTGTATCATATCGCATAGTATTATAATGAATCCTTTCATATTGTATTGTATCATATTGCATCGCATCCCTACTAAGTGATTTCATATCATATCATCTTTTATTGTATTATAATGTCTGATATCGGATTTTATTACACTGCATCGTCTTGTTTTGTATCGTTTCATATTTTAATGCATTGTATCAACCATATCGTATCATTTTATATTGTATTGGGTCGTAGCTAATCGTGTCATATTGTTGTAAATATTGTTCATTGTAAATTGTGAATGTAGTTTCCTTTAAAAAAATTTATTTGGCTATTCACATATTTCCATGGTAGTCACTGCTCTGTTTCATCTTGCTGTTTCACTGTTCAATAATCGAGAGCAGTGACTATATTTTTAAAATTACACACACACACACACACACACACACACACACACACACACACTCACTTAGGGCTGGTTTCCTCCTGGACCATGCATCCTGCCCCAGACATTCCCAGTACCACCCATTAGATTAAGTGTGTGTGACGTATATGTGTTTTTGTGTGTGTGTGTGTGTGTGTATGTGAGTGTGAGTGTGAGTGTGAGTGTGTGTGTGTGTGTGTGTGTGTGTGTGTGTGTGTGTGTGTGTGTGTGTGTGTGTGTGTGTGTGTGTGTGTGTGCATGCATGACAGAAACCGCTTGCTCTTCCTTTAGGAACATACAAGCAGGAGGCACGCGTATGCACAGACTTTCTAAAAACAAAACACGGACTTGTGCTTTTGTAGCAGTGCACATCCTGTCCTGGGGGGAATGGACCAACCAAGCCTTGACAGTCAAAAACACACACACACACACACACACACACACACACACACACACACACACACACACACACACTGACAGTGTTTTCCGGGGGGTTGGGCTTACATCTCAGCTGTAAATGTCTTTCTTAGTGACAGAAAAATATAAACAGCGATGGTCTTGTAGATAAACAGCCATCATGTGGACGACCTCCGTGACCTCTCCGATGACTCTACACAACTCCCTACATTCCTGTTTGCTCGCTGTCAGCACCCTGGGACACATCCAGCTATCATTTAAAAAAAAAAATGTCTTAACACATGCAACATGCAGTGTAAACTAAAGCTTCAGAGAGTGTTATGTGTTTAAAGCCTTTTGGTTATCAGGTTTGTTGTCATCAAATACTGAAGTAAAAGGTAGTGAGGACAACCTGTGGTGTCCGGACGAGAAACAGCACCGCAAAGAAGGATACAATATCTTCCAGCACAGTGATATTGGAAATGTTTTAAGGTAATATGAACTTAGATAAGATAATAATTCATTGATCTCCAGACTAAGAGGGGATATCCCGACATTTCAGCAACACAAACACAACAAAAGCAAATAGATATATACAAATAATATTCATATAAGAATAGATAACATAAATAACGGTGACCCTAAAGGTCAACTGTGGAACACAGATTATACTAAACCCAACCCAATCAATGAAACAATTCAAATTGATGTTTTTGACAACATTGCGTAACTTTTTAAAGTGTGGGATCTGGAGAGGCTCAGCTTTTAGATGCAAGTAGTGGAAAAGGATGTGAAGGCACGGATCTTAAGTTGTTAATATTTCAAAAAAGTGTCTACATTTTCATCTCCAGGAACAACAATGTCATTGTTGTGACTTACTCCCATATTAAACCATGAGTTTAATATGGCAGCAACTCCAGTCACTCCATCACTGAATATAAAAAATCAATATTGATGTTGATGGTCTTGTTTACTTTAGAAGTTCATAAAAGACATCAATGTTAGTTTCAGTGTGATTCATAAGCAGCTGAAAACTCCTCACAGAAGCCGACCTTTAATGTGAATGTGGCACAGCGTTGGTGTCTAGGGGAAAGAGGAAGTGACAGTGACACACATCCTTTGACCTCTGGCCCCAGCTGAACTCGTTCCTGACAATCTGGCATCAACAGGAAACCTGCGGCCTTGACATGCACGCGCGCACACACACATGCACTTGTCGAAGTTTCTGCTCGTTCTGTTTAGGAGTAAGAGCACAGAGTTTAGAAACACAACAGTGTTGTATGACTTACAATGAAAGTGAAATGAAACTATGTGGTGAGCATAAGTTAATATGAAGGGGAATAGTAGAAATACTACAACTGCACAAACGACTTCTGGTAGCTATTAATGTTGTCAACATTTTAAATTGTTTTTTTGTTATTTTCATGATCAACTGAATCGGAAAGGTACCAAAAGGTTTTGAAAAAAAAGTTCTGTCATATTTCATAAGCTTTGGAAAGAGGATTATAAGTGTATCTGAGATGGAAGGTTTTAGATCAGGTCTGTATCCTATTTTCAGCCACAAGACGTTGTCTGAAATGTTTACATTTTGTATGAGTCTGCCTGCAGCTTTGGATAACCTAAAGCAAAAGAAATGACCAAATATTGTTGGACAGCCTCCTCTTGTTGAACAGTATGAAGCACTGACATGTTGAGAATTATCAAACAGAGTTTGTACTTTAGGGATCTAATGTTGTCCTGATATCAATCAGGTATTGATATTGTTTGATTTTTACTAGAATGAAATTAAAGTTTAATGATCTGGTAGCATGACTACTTTAAATAACTATAACTTTGTGTCACACCTGTAGAAAGACTATTTCAGTTTAAATGAAACAATCACATTTGATTCGTTTTAAAGCATCTTAAAGGTTTAAACTTTTTTTTCAGACTTTAGGAAGAGGTAAGAATCACGTTTATTGGGGTCCTGGAAGCCCAGTGTTAGTGTGCCATGTGCGGAGGCTGAGGTCCCCTAAGCGGGCGGCCCGGGTTCAAATCCGACCTGTGACTCTTTTACTGCATGTCACTCCCAACTCTCTCTGTCCCTGATTGCAGACCCCACCCACCTGTCTCCAAAATGGCGACAGGCATAATAAACAAATAGGACCACCCAGGGCCCCTTCCTCCGTTAGGGGCCCTGGGTGGCCAGTCTCAAATTTCCCCCCACTATTAACCCTGTGTTTTTCCTGAAATGGTAAAGCATTTTTTATCCATATTTTCATCTTAAAGGAAGTGAAAATTGGTGCAAATAAGTGTCACTGATGTGAACCCTAAACCCTGAAAAGTTCCCACATCTGGCCCTGCCCCTTGGTGGTATAATGGATTAACACACACACACACACACACACACACACACACACACACACACACCTTTCCTGGTGTCAATCCTGTTTGCTGGAAAGAGAGGGGGGGGGGGGGGGTGGAGGAGTGTGGGTGCACACTTTAACACACTTACATATGTTTGAATGCTGTGTGTCAGGAAAGTTGAGGCTGTAGTTCAAGGGTTCGTCCTGCTGCTGCAGTCCTGAAACCAGAGCCCACATAGAGCTCTCAGTCCAGACCTGGGCTCAGTAACTCTCACGAGCGCTGCCTTAAAATATCCCGCGCTATTTATAACTGCTGTCTCTGCAGCAGCGGAGGAAGTGCATAATATTTCATTGACGTTTGTTCCCTGGGTCGCACTCTGCAGAACATCGTGTCAGTTTCCAGTTTCCACAGGAAGGCGGAGGAAGCTGGAGGACGCCGATCAGGCTGCAGATGTTGGAAGAGGAGGACGCTGAATCTGCAGCCTCTGGAGAGCGCTTTCTTCCAGCTATAATGAACAGAAAGTTAATCTGTTGCACCTTGTTATGTTCCCTCACAGCACAGTCATCCGTCCTGTGGAGACACGGATGTTATTCAGGGTAAAAGATGTCTCCCAGATAAGCTGAGACTTGCTGCCCTCTTGAGGATTCATGTTACAACAGGGGCGGCTGCTCAGTGGAGGAGAAGCCATAGGTTGCCATGGAAACCTGCCCATAAAATCTCTCTGACGAGGCTGTTATAATGTTGTGCAGGTGAATTACTAGTCACATAAACGTAGCAAATATTACATATACGTAGCTGTTGTTTCAAAGCTTCTTGATTCATCAGCAGCTTAAAGAGGAGTGTAAGGAATTATTGTTTTTAATATCAGGTGTATATTCCCTCACTTCTTTGTAACTGGCATATGTAGGCTACCTGTTTTAAATAGTTTTCAGAAAAGATATGAGCCTCCTACGTCAGCACCCAGGAGTCTTAATACCTTCATAATCAGAGCTGCAGAGCTGAAGGACTTGCACATGCTCAGTCGTCTTTCCTTGTGGGGAAGCTTTCAAACCCTTTATCTCTGAGAACGTCTTGTTAACATCACACATCCTATGAAGAATTATATTCATGATTTTTGTATAAAAAATAAAATGGTTTGACATGAAGTCTTTGCAAAATTGCCAGTAGGTGTGAATGTGAGTGTGACTGGTTGTCTGTCTCTTTGTGTCAGCTCTGTGATTGAATGGCGATCAGTCCAGGGCTTACGCAGCCTCTATATCAGTTCTTGATAAAGGCTAACTGTTTTTAGCCAATTGAAAAATGGTTGAAAAGAGGTCTTGTACGCTTAGAACTGATTTCAGCTTATTTCAAACCAAGTATCAATGTAGAGATCTGTGTTTGTGCTCACTGGGATGCATCTGATGCAATGAAGTCATTTACAAACTGTCTTCTTAAAAAAACTTCAGAAAGAACCGTTTAAAAAATATCTCTGATCTGAATTATAAGAAATACTGTAGAAAAATGACAACTAATGTTTGAGAGCAAAAGACATGACTATTCTCTTAGAATAAAAAGATTTTATAAAACACTTTGGGTGCAGCATCATGATGTGTCAGATTTCACCTGCAGAGGGCGCCAGAGGAGCCGCTGCATGGTCATCATTGGTTCACATCCTGGTGTCCAGGATCCCGGGCAAAGATCTCGAGGGTTTCTTTAAGGTAGTCAGAATTTGATTTTCATATATTAAGTATAACCACAAGGCCATCCGGTGCCCCATTCCCAGAAGGTTTCAAACAAAGGTTAATTTTTAGGATATTTTGTTATAATAATAATCATGTGTGTGACATTGTTCTGTTGAAGCTGCTAATCTAAATAAATGTACCGGTACCTACCTTTTTGTAAAATTAGTAAATCTATATATCTAAAGTCGTCCAGCATAAAACAGGGAGCAATAATAAAAATGTATGAATGTTTTCTTTTGGCTGCACAGAATAAATGATGTTTTGATGACTTTCTGCTCAAACAGTCTGAGCAGAAGCAGAGGCATTAAGATTGCATTCGTCTCTCACACTCTATAAATAGAACATTTATAATTGATCGTATTTTCGTTCTCACATCACAGCTGCAAACATCTGCCGTGTGAGGCAACACTGTGCTTAGGTTTTTCTGTTGTTAAAAGCACTGAAGTTTATCATCCTGTAGAGAAGCACCTGTGCCGACTGCAAGTCATAAAAAAGGTTCAAACACATAAATGATAAATCCTGGGCTTTATGAGCTGTGTGATGTTAACAAATACGTCAGACAGTATAAAGAGAGCAGTTTTTAACATTCTTAAGAAAAAGACCGAGCATGTGCACATACTTTGGTTACAGAGCTCTGAGGGCTGCTGCTGATGGAGATGATTAATATCCCACTGATTCAGATTTTAGAGACAACTCAGTGGCTGGACACCAACACGTCTTTAAAAAGATAAGAAAATAATAAACTTTCACTTGAGAACCAGTTTTGAGAATCTTTCAAAATACAAATTCCCATAGGGAGAATAATAACTTTAGGCCTATCATGCATGACTGATATCTTTTAAATTGACCCATTACTGATATCTCTAACAGCCCTGCTTCATTCGAATAAAAGTGATGAAAAACAAATCAAGCGGATGAGTCGGTTTGTAATGTTTAATTTAGATTGTTTAATGTTAATTCCATGCTGTGTTTCAGTCAAAACGATACAGATTCCCTGTCTGTGGCTTCAGTCAGATATCCAGTAGTACAAATCAGCTCCAAGTTACACATAATGAAGCGAAACAAGACGAGAAACAAAGAAAAATCAGCAAAGAAAGAAAACCTCTGAATCTAGAGGAGCTTTTTTAGTCAAAATTAGGGGGGAAGCAGCAGAAAAAGAACATGTGATAACTCATGCAAGCACTCCTGATGTAAGAGCTCTCTGTGGAGCACCCGGGCCGATCTGAGACTCGTCTTTCACATGGGTGAGAAATCAAGTTTTTCATTTAGCTTTGATGGGTTGACCTCCAGAGCTTCAGCATGTGTGCACAGTTACAGTATTTCAGCACAAAGTACAGTCCAAGGACAACTACAAAAACATGACAACAGAATCACCATGGTGTAAAAGTTAAGCACGTCTTTGCCCCACGTGGATATCGCCAAACTCTGCCAACTTCCTCTGAAAACCTACGTTCACAAAAAGGGCACTTAACTCTCCCAAACTGCCCTTCAAACGCTAAAATGATTTGCATGACATTTCACTAAAAACAGATAAAATAGCTCCCATAACTAAACCTCCATATTTTCAGTAATAAAAGTTAATTTCTGTAATTACATTAAGAAACAAAAATTCTCATTACATCCAGCAACTGATAAAAATATTGAAGAAAAAAAAAATACAATGATGAGAACAAAGATAACATTTCAGAACCGCTTGTACCAGGACAAAAAAAAAACAAAAAAAAACAACGATCCAGGGACTCTTTATCCCCCCGTCTTTCTAACGTTGTATTTCCTGTCTCATTAAGTGGTGTTTTTACTTCAATGCTGTAAGGGCTAATATAAAAATAAAAAAGAAGAGAAAAATAAAGTTGTTAACTCCGCGGCCCTGCTGGGTCGAGGAGCTGAGTGGTGGAAGAAAAGGAAAAGAGAAGAGGAAGATGAGGAGTTTAGGAGGATGACAGTAGAGAGGAGGAGGAGGAGTGTGAGGAGGTGAGGGGGGGGGAGGGTCTCAGGTTGTTGGCTGTAGGTGGCGTAGTCTCACTGGGCCGCCTCGTCCTCAACGTCTTGCAGTGCCTCTTTGTTCTGTTCTTGTTCTGCTGAAGAGAAAAAAGAAGGTGTTTGTTTTTAATCTGAGTTAAAGGCGTAAAGGTTTTATTCGTTTTTCTTTTCACTGACACTCTGCACGGGGATTTAGCAGCAGTACATTTAATATTTATTTATTATTTGACGACCTGATGATACATCTTCCATCGATCTCGGATCGACTTTGAAACGTTGCACCACTACCAAATTAGAAGCAAAAAAAGAAAGAAGAGAAGTGCCTCAAAACTTGTCTTTAGTACACTTCACAGTAAAGAAAGGACTTTTGAATGCTCATTCATTTATAAAGAAACAGAAGAGATTGTGTAATTATTATTTCATCTTTAAAATATGTTTGTCACTTTGTTTTAAAGACGACCTACTCAAGAGGAAAACGTTGTTATTGTAAGTGTTTCTTTTTGGAGTAGGAAATACATTCCTAAGCTTTGCTGGAATTCTGTTAACATCCTTAATGATCAGCTACAAACATCAGTCTTAATGCATGCTGAATCCAAACTCAAGTCGATAAATCAAAATGTGTTTCAAACAGAAAAATAACAGTGGAAAAAAACGGAGTTTTAAAATCTAACCCGTTGAGCTTTTTACATGAAACTTCACACGTGCAGAACACTCTGATAAATTAAACTCTGAGCTCTGGATGGACAAAGTTAAACACTTTACACACAAACTGCATCAACATCACTCGTTTCATTCTCTTCCTGACTGAGGTTTGCAAGTGTGAAAGTGAATCTCTGAGGTGCTACAGGGTGAGCAGGCAGTCAACAACATGATCTGAAACTGTGATCCTTGGTGTGCATTCATCAGTTTTCACTCTCTGTGGTGGGAAGACAAAAGGTGGCAGACTGAACAGGTGAGTGTGGAAGCTACATATGAGTCCACTGAAGGATTAAACCAGGAGTGAGTCTGTGTTGAGAGGAGGAGGGCAGCAGCCACACACACAGCAAGGTGAGCAACACTTACAAAGTACAGTTAATATGGGAAATGAAGGGTCAGGTTTGTTTCCTTTAGGACTCTACAGCAGAGGGAACGAGAAAGAGAGACAGAGACATGACGAGTCAACGACAAATCAAAGCTGTCAGGGGACGCTGCTCGACACCAAAAAGGCCAACAGCTGGAATTTAAAAAAAGGACAAAAAAGAAAGATTCAAAAAGTGACAGAAGTTTTTTTGCATTTCCTACTCTTAACACCTTGGAACTATGACAGCAGGGATTTTATTGTGGTAGTTTGAGAAAATTAAACTGCCATAAATATGAACGTCTCAGACAGATTTAGGCTACGTCAACACACAAGCCCAATCCCAGTGTGCCTCTTTGGTCCTAACCCTTATTTATACATGTTCTCAACTTAGTGGTGGCCTTTTAGTTTGGAGCTACTGAGCCCCCCAGTGATAAGGCTTTTAGGATTTTAGCAATGTGGAAAAAGTGGCACCAAATATGACAATGAAAATTGAATCAACTGTAAAACGTGGAAATGGCCTAACGTGGGTGTCATAAAAAAAAAAAAGGGTTTTCCTCCCAATCTAGGTGTTTTAATTAAAAATAGTCTATGCTGAGATTTAGGTGCGTTTGTTGTAGCTGCAGTGTCTTTCTCCTGCTCCTCGTCTGTCTGCATGTCGGAACGTGTGCGGACACACATTAACACACACACAAGGAACACAAGCCATCACACACACACACACACACCTGTTTATTTTAGTGCAAAGGGAACACTGTTAACCGTACGGACCAAGTCTTTATGGTCAGGAACCACGTAATCCAGTCAAACGTTTGGTTGGACTTTTCTCCATCCAACAGATTCATAGGGTACGGCTCAGAGAAAAAATTTTAAGCAATTGCAAATCCGTGTGAACTTTTGAATAATCCTGCCGATTCACTGTAACAGAACATGCACACTGTGAGCTGCATGATCCAAGTTCTGAGAGCTCCAGCTGAGGCCAGTATCATGTCTTTTAAATCTATAGGATATGCTGAGTAATAAGTTCAACAGGGAGAATCTCTCCCATTGTCCACAGAGTGTTCCGGTCACTTGTTAACCTCATGCAGCGCTCTACTGTTAGCAGGCGAGAAGTGCGTATGGCTTAAAGCACTTCTTCACAGCACACAGCCACCATCAGCTACAAAACAACGAGTGAGCCCGTCCCTGTACTGTTTGATACGATGGCTAAAGAGACGGAACCAGATGGTGACGGATAGAACCAGGAAGAAGGAAAAAAAGGGAGTGACCAACAAGAAGCTGCACTAAAGGAAATATTAGACCTTGTCAGTCAATGTGGTTTTCTGGCTTCTCAAAATGTCTTTGCCTGTGTTCTGTTGAGATGTACTGCCTTGTCTAAAAATGATATCACGGCCCAAAACGTTAGCGAGGTGATCTGTATCCTCTATGAAATAAAGCTTGCAGAGCAAAATAACTTGATATGAATTCACTGCTCACATCATGCATTATCAGAGTATGGGGAACAAGTTTTTAATACACTATCATTTCAGTTTCAGAGGAATCTTGATGGACATTAATCTATCAAGCAATGCTCCCTGTACTGCACTCAGCTGGTAGCACATCTGGATGGGTAGCACTATTCAATAGAACACCTGCTGCACCACCCTCTGCTTGTCAACAGATGCACTCTGTCTATGAAGGGGAGGTTTAACAGAACCGTGTGCGTTTAACATCAGTGCAGTTGCACTCAGAGACCTTCAATGGGCGCAGGATTTCTCCATAATGTTGCTTTAAGAGCATTTTCTAAAATCTACAGTAACCTAAAACTAATTCATCTTTTGCATAGAACAGAGTGAGGCATACTTCTAAGTGTACGGGCTTGTCCTCTGTCCCTGGACCTGTGATGTGTGTATTATATGCTAGCATAAACTGAAACAACAGAATATGAATAAAGCTGCTCACAGTGTTTAGACATATGTAAATAAGAGTATAAAAAGGTTAGGACAGGTAACAGCAGATGAGTGAGTTAGTTCATCAGCATCCTGACCTGGAAACATGTGTTGAAGAAAGTTTGATGAATAAGTGTCTTACCCTCTCCCTGCATATCTGAAGTCCATAGTGTCAGGTTGTCACGTAACAACTGCATGATAAGTGTTGAGTCCTTGTAGCTGTCTTCACTCAGTGTGTCCAGTTCTGTGATGGCGTCATCAAATGCACACTTTGCCAACCTGAGAAAACACAAACGGTTAAAATCAGCGAAACCGAGCGGCAACCTAGACGTGTTGAAATGAAGCATATGCATATTAAAAACGTAGCTATACAGCAGAAATAAACATGTTTACAGCCTGATTCAAAAACAGCTTTGGGTCTGTATAGCTCATTGCTTTATTCATGACAATCCTGCAAAGGGTGAATGTTTATATAACTCATCTGTTTTGATTTTATCAAGTCTTAAAGGGATGGAGCGGTGAATTTTTGACTGACAGCGGGACTCTGCTGGCTTTGAGACATCCACTCTGGGAATTCATTCTCAAACATTAGCGTACCTCTGAGCCATGTTTTCTTGGGATTTACTCATTAAAAACATATAACATGACTTTCTCTGTAGTTTAAGCATGCATTAAGTAGCTCAAGGCTTCATTCACAGTCACATGACTAATGTGTGACAGCACAGTTGCCATGTCCATTATTATCGATTATAAAGAGACCTACACTTTGGATCCTTAAACCTTTGAAGGTGCTGTTTGAATAAAAGAATACACCATGCTTTGGCATTGTTGATTAAGCTTTAGAGAATCACAAAAGTCAGTGATATAGGAAAGACAAAAAACCTGCAAGCGCGGTCAGGCGAGTTGAGGATCTCGTAGTAGAACACAGAGAAGTTGAGGGCGAGTCCGAGGCGAATGGGGTGTGTGGGTGGCAGCTCGGACAGGGCTAGATCCGTAGCGGTCTTGTAGGCTACCAGGCTATTCTCTGCTGCATCCTTTCTGTGGTTGCCTGTAGCAAACTCTGCCAGGTACCTGTGGTAGTCACCTTTCCTGAAATTAGGGGGAAAACAAAAAATGTCAATAAGTCAATTTTAACAACTTCTGTTTGTGATAAAATTGCAGGTTAATTGGATGTGAACCTTTGTTTTGAAATTAAGCTGTTCACTTTACACACTGTACAATGTTTCTAAATTTTTCTATCCTGTCCTGTCTGGATTCACCTCTTTGTAATTTAAACGTATCTAATGACTTGTCAAATTACTTACAGGCATAAAAACTTAATCAGTTTAACATCTAGACAGGGTTAATTCATTTCTCCATCCATTTACATTCAGACTACAGTGCTCTTACATTTTGTTGTAGAAAACCTTCGACTCTCCCATTACAGCAGAGGGAAGTAGGTGCCTTTCAAGTGCATCCAGAATATCCCCACAGATTGACTTCAACTCGTTCTCCACCTGCAAACAGACAAAATAAATGAAAATATCCAATCTGCATGAACTATTTTCATCCTTTTCCTCTGCAGCTTTCTTCCAAGTCCAACATATCCTCTCACATCAGGGTGTAAGTGTTCACTGAAAGTATAGTTTATCATCTGCGTATCCTGAAGGTCAGCACACACTGTACACACACAGCCAAGCTCAGGCTGCATTTCCTGTATGCTCAGACAAAAATTAAACAAAAGCCCTTGTTTTAGGGGTGATTGATGCCCTTACTTGACAGGACAAAAAAACAATTATATGCGGAAAAAGGAGCCACAGTCTGGACCCGAACCCGGCCCGCCCACCTTGAGGACCACAGCCTCTGTATAAGGGCATGACCTAACTGTGTGCCGAACCGGTGCCCCACTAAAGCCCTTTTACCACATTCACAGAAAACCTGAAAATATTATATTTGCAAGCTCAACTGCGGCAAAGAAGACGATAATACATTCTTGGTGCTCTGTTGAATCTCCATTGATAAAGGAATGGTTTAAATATTTTAGAAACATCTCTCTTATTGAAAGACCATTAGCTGTAATTCATAAGGCACACGGACATCCACTTTACAGGCTTGGGATTTCCTTATTTCAACTCTTTCAGATCCACTTTTTCTTGAACAAATATTATAAACAAAATGTAAACTTACACTTTTTGTGAAATAGTTTACTTGAATTATTTTTTATCTGTCTATTTGTTTCAGTTTTATTTATTGAGCTGTGTCTATAGGTTTTATTTTGTGTACATATGTGTATGGGTATGGGTGTGTGTATGTGTGTGTGTGTGTGTGTGTGTACACATGCATATCATAATTTCATTCAGTAATTTTGTCTTTGTTTCAAATTGTATGTATGTTTTTCCTCATCAAGGCAACAGCAATCTGTAAATAGTTTGTATGTTTGATGATGCTGTCTTGATCTTCTGTCATTGTACCTCATGTGTATAAACATCTTATGTAACATTTAAATAAAAAGTTGATCACAAAAAAAGGAAAAACCTGAAAATGTTGGTGGTGAAAAAGGTGAGCCGCATGTGAGATCACAAATGACCACATTTTTTACCCGGACATCTCTCTGGGGGGGCTGGCAGTAAAGAGTTGGGGTGATGTGTGAACACAGCAGGAAATAAGAGTGAGCAGACGGGGCTGATTTATATCATGAAACACGATCTTTATCTTTATAATCTTAACAGCACGTTCTTTTCTACTCATTCATTGACACTGTGAACATGAAGCATTGATTGCATAGTGTCCTGTTGTACTCCTGGTGGCCTGACTGTGAAGCGTGTTCAACCAAGAATGTCTGAAAAATAGGATGCTGCAAGCTTAAAAAATGGAGTTTACAAAAACTTTCAAAAGGAGCTGAGAAGTGTTACAGGTGTCTTTAGTATTGCTTAATATGTAAAGGATGTAATCTGAAACTAAAGGATGATGAAAATACAGCTTGTTGATACACAAACCAGCATTTCTTACTCATTGTTGAGCAAGTGCAAAGTGTTTTGATCACAGCAGCATGGCGTGTCTACGAACAGGGACTTAAAGGGACCAAACAGCCTATGAGTGAGGGGCAGAAAGTCTCAGTGCTCCACTCCGCTAACATGCTTTATCACCGTCCTTTTTTTGGACAACATCTGCCCTTTAAAAGCCTAGGCCTGCAAGTGGCCCCAGTAATTATTTTTAGCTTCATAGGATTCATATTTTAGGAACCCTCACCAGGTGCTGGTATAGTGGTGGATGAAATCTGTCCCCTAAGGGGTTTAGGGATGAACTAAATGACGATGCAACAGCAGGATTACCAATCCCTGAATCCCATTAGGTCGTTGACTGCAGTCCAACTGCCCCTCCCAGTTTCCTGACACACTCTGGCTTCTCCCAGATAACTAACCATGTCTTATTTCCCTTCATAAAAGCAGAAGAGAGAAGAGGATCTGCCAAGTATGACTCAGATGCAGTCTGCTCAGGAGCTGCTCACAGTGTGTATTATTAATATGAGCTAGTGTTCTTAGATTAGCACTATAAATGTCTTGAAACAAGACAATGAATGTGCAAGAGTCCCGACAGATGATGTTGAAAAGCAAAAGCTAAGTCACAACCCAAACTTTAAAAGAGTGCTTTACCGTTTGCCTGTATTCCCGGATCATCTTCAGTTTATCCTCTCCGCCCTTGGTCTCTTCCCTCTGTTCGATACTGCTGATTATCCTCCAGGAGGCTCTCCGAGCACCGATCACATTCTTGTAGGCCACTGATAAAAGGTTTCTCTCCTCCACTGTGAGCTCCACATCCATACCGGCCACGTTCTTCATAGACACCACCATCTCTGTTGAGGATACACACGGGACAACCCCATCAGTACAATATAACGTTTTATCAACCTTTTAGTTCTGACATCAAACCAAAGAATGGGCAGATCATCTTCTCATCATGTTGTCTGGCTAAACTACAGTCAGAGGTTAAAGTCGTGAGAGATGTGGTGGAAAACTCTGACAACAATTCAACGAATACTGGCAGACATTTCTCTTCAGGAGACATAAAAATTCAAGTTTATTAAGAGAAGAACCAATAAGTAAGCAGTGAGCAAAAATCCACACAGTATTTAAATCAACAACGTACAAAACACATCTGACCGTGAAATTAAAATGCCTTTAGAGATCAATAATTTGGTAGATGGGGGTAAAAACATGCATAATACGTATACCTGTACTAATAATAATTGTATTTGTATAGCACCCTTTGTTCAAAGATGCAGGCCAACGGGCTTGATGATAAAAGATTTGATCGAGAAAAACACAGAAATTAAAGTAAAATGATATTAAAGTCATTAATGCTTTCCCAGATCAAAAGAGGGATTTGTTGTAAGTGTACATGCCGAGTGCTGTTGTAATTCAATAATCCAATTAAAAGTATTTACCTCAATTAAAAGTCATACTTATAGCTAGATATTGTCAATTACCTGCAAGGCATTCTGGTGCCGCACGCCTACACTTGATCACTAATAGTCAGTTGACACCCCTCCTCATTTTTAAACTATGTATTTTAGCCACACCCATTGCTAACCAGTGCAAAGCAAACAACACGGTGACTTAGACTTTTTTACAAGTGGAAGCACCTAGGCGTTTGAAAACCTCCCATCTGTTGAATCATTAACCAAAGAGCTCACACCTGTCGCTGGAAGCAACATCAGCAAACATACAACCGGGAATGAGCTTCTCCTAAACCTAATTATGTAAGTAACCATATGAAAATTGCCACATTTGGTAAAGTGCAGTATACAAACTTCATATGACTGGTTTGGGGGAAAAGAATAATCACAGGGACCCAACGTTTGTCTCCTGTACTCTGGAACAGCTCTGTGTATTTATTTTTAGTTTTACACTTGCAAAAGAAAACTCCTGAAAAGTTGTGTGAACACAAACTGCCAGATTTTTCACCCAGAATTTTTTCTACCAGCCCTCAAGTCAATTCTCTGTGTGAAGTCAATTCCTTTTTGCATATCTGAATAAACAAGCATTTGTGGGTCTTTGTGAGTTTTATTGGTGTTATTGGTTATTAGGCATATGGCTATTTAAAAGCATATTGTAGTTGTTGGTAGTTGTTCTATATGGCCACAAGACAGCGAGTCAGCAGGACCTCGTGCAGATGAAGTGAGGGGCAGACCAGGACAATAAGAATAATTTCACTTTGACAAGGAAGAAATGATTGGATCAAGTGTGTACATGGATATTGATCCAAGCAATGCTAGGCATGAACCGCCCCTCTTGCTTAGAATTAAATTTATTTTCTTAGGAGCTGAATTGGATCAGTCTCTTCAGATTGATATGTTTACATTAAGCATTTTTATTCTAATAAATGATGTCCATGTAATCATAGCTAGTTTGTGCCAATGGTGGTAAACAAGGGCCTTTACTGAATAATGTAACAATTACTTACAGCTGTTTACAGACAAACATAAACACATACAAATAATAAACACTGTATACACCGTCCTCACAACCACCGCCTGACGCCCAGCCACCACCATCCCACCCCACAAACACCAATGTTCTCCTTCATGCACGGCTCGCGCCAACCTCCACCTCAGCAGCAAGGACGTGTGGACAACAGGAGCGCGAGGAATACAGAGGAGAAATCCTTCCTGCATATTATCTGCTCTTTTGTAAAGAGTCTCGAGAGAACACTTGCTATGAATTGGCGCAATACAAATTACGATTGATTGATTGATTGACACGTTCAAAAGCATTGCAATCTTGTTCTATCAGGGGTAAATCATTTAAAATCTTTGCAAGTGCTTAGTGACTTAAAACATGGCAATAAATAGTAATGTTGACTTAAGCTGAACTCATTTAACACATGCTGATATAAACCAACTGATCCGATTTTTAATATGTGATAAAAATCCCCAAAAACAGTTGAGAGCAAAGTGAAAATACTGTCCTTGAAAATGTAGTTCACGCTGACAGTACTATAGTCCAACACTTGGACAAAAAAGGCTTTTTTTGTCTCGCTGAAATGTAACCTTGTTCTCAATATTATGATCAATATCATAAGCGAGACGACTGTTTCATTTTTTACGCTGTCTGTGTATCTGCAGTGGTAAAGAGTACTTGTGAAATGTGTAAAGCTTGGGGAACCTCTGGTCACAACTATTTTCAAATGTGTCTTTCTTTGTGAAACCATCCCTTGCAGCCACCACAGGAGCTTCATATTTTAAGGAGCGAATCTCACCCCTGAGAGGATCCTTCCAAAAATAATTCATAAAAAAACCGAGCTTAGTATGATATGACGGGTTTAAACTCAGTAGCACCTGCAGATTTCAGCTTCAATGAAGAGGAGCAGTTTGTGGCGATAAGATCTGACTCCACCCTAAAGCTGAGGTTTACAGGACAATGGATTGTGTGCTCCGCCTGGAGAAAGAGCATCTCTCCATAGAGCAGAGTGCTGTGCCTCTGCTTCTCTCCACTTCATCCTATCTCAGTTAAAAAGGCTTTTCTGCATTTGTCCTACTGAAAACAATGAACAGAACTATTTTTTTTATTAGCAGTATTAAGCTAATTTTTTTTCCAAAGATGTGCAGTGCAAAAAAAACCTCATTGCTGATGTAGAGATAAAACATGCCCTTTTATCCCCATATGTCAAACGTTACTAATGCTTTGTTGGAACTATATACTGGACTTTTTTGCAGGCATAATACTTAATTTTTTTTTTTTTTTGCAAAGTTGTCTCCAGTTGACTTTATAAAAGCAGGCCGACTGATGAAGAATCTAGTAATAAATGTTATGTAGGGTGGTTTAAGTTTGTTTTTTGAATGTTTGCATTTCAGACACCAGATTAAGAAGGGTCCAAAGGGATGTGCATGTTTTATTGACTAAACAGATCAATTCATCACCCTCGCTAGTTAGCAACAAAATTACAGGTCCAGAAAACATCTGTCATTTTTGTCAGATAGAGCCATAACACTCTGGGATTTCTCAATAATGAATGGCTGTCCACGTTTTGTGTACCGTGCCACAGCACACCTCTTCCATCTGGCTAGGACCAACGAAGTGTACCGTGCTTGAGCGAGGAACAGAGCACTCACACTCCTGAACTGGACTTTGAGAGTGAAGCATGCTGGTATGGACTGCCTTATTCAATGGGGAATGTAGGCCTAAATGTCACACTAATTGTATTGTGTGATGAATAAATTAAAGAAATAAGTGAACTTCCAATGTGTGTATGATATCTTCATGTTATCAATAAATCAGTAACAATCTGTCTTCATTTAAAAAACGATATACTTAAGCAACTAACGCAGTTAGACTGCCAGTAAAGCAGTTTTAACTATTTAAACAAGTTAAAGAGCTCCACATATTCTACTCCAGAGAATATATTCCCTTTTTGAGTCTCTAAATTACAATTATTTCTATTCACAAGTTAAACTTGGGCCATTTGAAGAAAGCGAGGCTGAACTATAAATAAAACGCATCCTATGAGTCAGAGAGACTTTGCTGATGTGAATAAGATATATAACATTAAGCGAGTAAATATATGAATGTCTTTGTCAATGCAGGAAAACCTGGTGTAGAATAACACTTTTAATCCAGCTAGATTCCAGTCAGGTTGACAATTAGGGCAGTAAACCACAAATCACTCTGTAAATACACCCAGTCCAAATCCCGTGAATGAGTCATGGCACATTCACTTCACGTTACTGGGCAACGTCTAAAAACAGCCTCCAATGTAACCAGGCCTGTAATGGTATGACAGTCTGAGAGGGGTGCACCAGGGAGAGCAAATCGATCCGTGCAGCCTTGTTGCAGGGGGAACACCCCACCAAGTGAACAGCTGCCCCTCCACTCCCACACCGAGACCTTAAATCACATAGTTAACCATGCCATTCAGTTTAGAATCATATAAAACATATCGTATGCTAATGCAAAACAGTAGCCCGACAGTGGATGTTGCTTCTAATACAAGCAGTCAGTAGCTCAAGTGTTAAGCTTAGCATGGTGCAAAGGGAGGCAACTCCTGACAGCTCAACGCTCCAGTGATCCGCCATTTTGTTGTAGCCTTCACTAGCGTTAGCCACCGTCAATCACATCCGCACATTTTTACTAGCTGAGATGACACTCTATTGTTTTGCCTTTTAATTCATATGATTGTTGTGTTCGTCCACAATCAAGCCATTTACCGTGTCATTAGTTTGCAAAAAAAGAAAAAGAGGGGATGTTAGCCACGTTAGCTGTGTGGTTAGCTGCGGCTAACTTTGAGATAGCAGATCCCTGCAGCCACACCGAGTCGACCCCGGAGAGTCTTACCGTCATATCGCTCTGCCTGCTCGGCCAGCTTCGCCTGATAAACGAGGTCCTCCCGTTCTCCCATGGTGGTAACGAGATGCGGGTAAATTAGCGAACTATTAAAAATGACAATTCTTCAGGAAAAAACACGGTAGTGCGAGCTAGGTCTAGCAGCTGGATCCTAAGAAATGAACTGGGTCGATGAGTGCTGTTCCGCCCCACCGGCAGCGCTGTGCAGGGATGGAGTAAAGATGGCGGCGACCACCGGTCTCATCCGCGTACAGCACATACGCACATGAATCACCATCAAGCGTCCTCCTGTACATAGAGGTTATGAGAATATACTGCGGGGTTTCTACAAACTCTTTTTATATTAATATACTAAAAACTGAATACTGCGACGGACTTTTAGATCTACATTTAAAAAAACAAAGATTTTTTTTTTTAATATTACCAAAGTAAAGGCGTAACTTTACTTGTAAATTACATTAAAATCCTAATTTTACAAGAATAATGTTGTAAAATAGCCAAACATTTAACTCCTAATTTTATGAGAATAAAGTTACTCATTACTTAGTTTTAATTTTACTTTTAATAAAGTATTACATTTAAGAGATTAAAATCCTACTTTTACGAGCATAGAGTCGTACATTACCGAGGTTAAAGTCAGAAATTCATAAAAATAATGTGGTAAATGAACAAGATTTAAATTGTAATTTTACGAGGATGAAGTTGTAAATATACTAGATTAAAGTTGTGTTTTAATGAGAATAAAGTCATCAATTTAAAGATTTTTGGGGGGCTTTTTGTGCCTTTATTGTAGAGATAGGACAGTGGATAGAGTCGGAAATCAGAGAGAGAGAGAGAGAGAGAGAGAGAGAGAGAGAGAGCGAGAGAGAGCGGGGAATGACATGCAGGAAAGGAGCCACAGGTCGGATTTGAGCCCGGGCCGCCCACTTGGAGGACTATAGCCTCCATACATGGGCCCACTAAAGTTGTCAATTTAAGATAAATATGTTCTGATTTAACGTGAATTTGGCAGATGAAATCATGAAATTTTGCTTACAAAATTCATGTTGTAAGTTAACAACATTAAAGTTGTAGTTGTACAAGTTGAAAGCAAGGCCCCCAGTAAGTGCACGGACTGTTTAAGTCTATTTTACATAGTGGTCAGATCTGGTGTTGCAGTGTCACGTGATGCCATTAGGCCCAAGAACACTTTTTTTCCAGCTTACATTGGGAAACAAACATCTAAATAGATATATTTTGAGCTAGCCTACATCAACTTCCCAACATGAACACTAGATGTACCTAAAAAAAAAATGTATTGGCTGATTCAAATGTTTTTAAACCCTTTTTAACATCAAAACCTCCTAAAAGTAGAAAAGTCCAATGAAAGCCGAATTTAGATGTATTGTTGTAGGCCTAGACATAATGAACGCAGATCAGAGCCGCGGGACTGCGACTCGAGTGCGGATACTCTATGGGCCGGGTAACATGGAAGATCAAGGTACTCTTAAAAGTGGAACTTTTTTTGCTGAGCAGCTTTTATCAGAATGAACTGGGCTCCGCCTCTGATGCTGTATCCATTCTATAATACTGATTGATTAAAGTTGTAAATTCATGAGAAGAAAGTCATAAATTCACTATAATAAAGTTGTAGTGTAGAAAAAAAGAGCGAGAGAAGGGGAAGGAAAGAAAGTACTTTTTTAAGGTGGACTTGAGAGGGAGAGGAGAGAATTGAGAAGGGTTGTATACTATGTGAGTGGGAGTGTTCGTCTATGAATGTGTTGATGTGTGTATTAATGTTGTGGAATGAAAGGTGAGGATTATGGGTAAGGAGCTGCAGCCAGAGCTTTGGGGTCAAAGGTCAACTGCTGGTGCTTTCGAGGGTAGGATGGAGGGAGAGGCTGATGCTACCGTTTGTCTTTTGGTCGGATAAAGTAACAAATTGACCCCCCCGCACTATCTACTATAACTTCCCTTCAACAAAGTATTGAACAGTCAATCGTTTTTTCAAAATAAAAGTTACATGTCTTTATCCAACAATATAAAAAAAACACCATGTTTCATGAAAATGTAGCATTAAAATATTAAAAGCCATGTTATTTCAGGACTTCATTCACAATTAAACAATTTTATTTTTAACATTGTCATTTTTACTTTGTTTTTGTTGTGATTCCCAATACGAGACTTTGCTGATTAAAAAAGCAAATTAACATTTTAACAATAAGCGATACACTTCTACATTAGATATATTTTCTTTTGCTTGCTACATTATATGTGCACTGTATAATGGAGCTTAAATATACATTAAGGTAATAAATCTTACTGATCCTACTGTCCACGGGTTCTTCAGAGTTCATAGTGTTTCTAAAAGTACCTCAAGAATGAAATGCATTCATTTCTATAGCTTGAAATGTGCAGCATGAATGACAAACTGTATTTGGAAAAAAAACCCAGCAAGCATTCAAATGCATTTTAGATTAAAAGCAAACGTAAGAAAATTCTGAGAACTCCACTAAGACAGATGAGTCAGTACATTACACAAATCATTTCATGGGTTTGACTTTATTTACTAGTATAATAACACATTACATGCTACAGAAAATAAAAAGGTAATTTGTCAATTGTCTTGAAAGAATATAGTGTTATAATAAAATGGCACATTTTGTTATTAACACAATCCCCACGGGCATTTTTCCTTTGCATGAAAGGAAATTAATGACTTCATGCAGGGCTACTTAAAAAAATACTTCTTGGTGATTTAATTGGAAAACACAATTTATAAGAGAATGATTTATGTATCGGTGAGCACCTGCCATGTATGCACGTGAGTGACAAAGTGGTTTGATTTCATCGTCACCACACAGATGACCACTGTAAAAAAAGATGCGAGTAAACATGGATGTTACTTTGGAAGAAGTCAAACAGATATTTAACAGATCTTACACTGGGTTTGGATAGAGTCAGGCAAGGCGATACGGTCACAGAAGCCTCTGTGTGGGGGCGATAAAGGAGCATTAAAAAGGAGCACAGATCAATGCAAACTGAGTCTGAAAGCAGTAAGTGCATTCTGTTAAAAATCCAATTGTATCCCATAAACTCTCAGAATATGCTTCTAAGCCTCTGAATGCTGCCACAGTGCCACCTTAAGGTGACATGGTGCAGCTGAGGAGATCTCAGCATGTGTTCAGCAAAGGCTTTTAAAACTTCACACCCGGCCTGCTGCAATGCAAACCAGTCTGCTATCTGATACAAGAGGGGGATGATTGTCAGGTGTCAACTAAAAGATTGATCCACCTCTTTAGGGGGAATGGGGAGGGGGAGGGGGGGGCAATCTGGACTAATGACATGATTTGTTTTTTTTCATTAGCCTGATTGATTGGCAATACAAACATGGCAGAAGGTAGAAATCAAGCAGTAAAAAACCAACATAGGCTTGTGCATTAAAATGAACTAGTAGGCTTTAAATAAAAGACAGGGAAGCACAAAAGAGGAATAAAAAAGGGTGCAAGGTAGCAACATGATTATAAAAAAGGGTTAAAAACAAAAGGGCAGGTACCAAAATAATACCATTTTCTTCTTTCTTGTACACAATTGACAAAACGTGGACACAGGACGGTCTTTCACTCGACGGTCTGATGTTGCTATATTCAGTGAATGGAAAGCAGAGAGCTAACAAACTAACATGATGGACAGACTCCATTCACCCACTTCATCCAGAGGCAGAATGAGCACACATGTGGCGCTATGGGGGCTGAGGGCAAACAGGTGAGGGCAAACAGGTGAGGCCCCCCCCCCCCCCCCGAGAGGGTGGTCTCTTTTGCACCAGAGACCCATCGCTGCCTCCTGACATGCAGCAGAAAAAAGAAGTGTACATTGAAATTCTGTATGTTGGGAAAAAAATATCTGCCATGAAGAAAACGACAAGTATAACAAAGAAGAAAAAACAATATTTTAGCATGTAATGATAATCACACAGTACATCATTTCATAACAATATGTTCTTTTTTTCTTTTCTTACAAAAGACTACTCGGGGGGTGGGGTGGGGGGGGTACTTGGTCATAGTAGTTGAGTGAATCGGGCTGAAGTGAGCCGGGATGGGAGGTGAGAGGTTGAACGTAGTGTTGCCTTTATCTTTACCTCAATAATAGTCTTGAAGTTTCTCAGGTTAACGTCTGCTCTTCTACGCTCTATAGAACTACATGAAGGTGCTGCTAGCTGCTGGACTTGACTCGGGTGATTTTTAGGGTGCTTGTCTGGTTCCTTTAGTTTCTGTACACCTCCTGTTGTCTTCCTTTTACTTTGCGTCTTCCCCGTGCTGAAAACCAGCGAGCTGTATTTGAGCACTTCTGCTCTCGTTTCTTGACATGTAGCCTTCACACTTGCACTAAACGCCTGAAAACTTCCTGAAATATTCAGGGTGAGCTGTGTGAACACACACAATCAGTTTTTACTCCGACTGTACCCAGACTTTTCCCTGCCAGACTCCCTGGTTTATTTTCTGTGTGAGGTTAGGGTTAGCTGACGTGAGAACGCAGCAGAACAATATTCTGGAGATGTCACCACGAGTGGGTGACTCCTATATCTGGTGAATGGTGCACGACCATTGACCCTCTTGCTGAAATGAAACTGCATGTTGCACTGATATGAAGGCCAAATTTTGTGTTTGACTTTGTTGCTCTGTCTGCCACTTCCCTCATTGTTCTCTTTATGTCAGGCCTTGCCTCCTGACTCCCCCCATCCTTCCGTCTGACAGGGATAGTTTCCTGCTGTGAGGTGCATGTTTGAACAACCAAACTCAGGAAGAGTTCAGGAGCAGTCTGCCTAAAATTTTTACAGGAAATTTTCAGGAGTGCATGTGTGAAAATGGCTACAGTCATGTTAAGTCTAAAATAATGCTGTATCGTGTCCGGTTAGACTTCTACTATATGCACACATTTAAACAAGAAAACAACTTAAACTCATCACAGGCAGACAGTAAACAGAGAATACTGTTAGGTCCAGTTGTGGGGATTCACATTTCTGATGTTGAAAACTCCTAAAAACAGTTCAGCATTAAACATCAGTTAAGACCTCCCATGTCTTCTTTAAACAACGCAGCTCCATCAAGAAGGAACCCGTTTAGACAGATGACAGAAGAAATCAAATTAAAGGCTGACATGGCAGGTGAATAACTCTAAGGTCTGATTGGCTGACATTGAAGAAAAAAACAAGACAAAGGTATCAACATGGCGAGCGCTAGCCAGAACCATGCATACATGGACAGATGAGGAGACACAGGACATGATGTATCGTATTGAAAGTACAGAGCTGTAAAGTTGTCCATGTTTTTACTGTTCAACATATCACCACCAGTTTGCCGCTTGCTAACATGACTGTTTGGTCTACCTGAAAGGGGGCATATCACCACCTGCTGTAGAGGAGTCAGAGATACTTCCATCAACAAATGGATCCTCTCTTGGTGCTTACATACTGGGACAAGGACTGTAGACCAATTACATTTCCTCATTACTGAACTGACTGAGATTTAAATACCAGTATATCTAAAATTCAGTATATTTATGAAACAAAGAGACGGTCCTATTTAACGAGAAAAGGAGGGAGCATCTTTCTGTATAATGTCAAACTATTTCTTCAACAAGTGTGAAAAATTAAATGAAATTGGCACCTTAATAGTATAAAACTACAGATGTATTATTAAGACCTGGACACCTCCTAATCGCTCAGCCCTTGCATTCAATTTTGCCCAGTGGCCAATCCAGGTACTGCAGCGCATAATTCTCCTTTTGAACATAAAGTATCTACCCTGACTAAGGTTGTCAAAACTGTTGATAGTCACTTCTTTTTCGAGACCACGTTCTTAAAACAATACAATATTCTTTATTTTTTTACATTAGATAGCACTGAATAAAAAAAAACGAAGTAATATGTAGTGTAAAAAGTAATGAGAGAAAAAACATTTAGTAATAATTTCAACCCAAAGCTGCTGCAAGCCGAGAGTGAGAGAGAAACAACGCAGTGGTGGTCAATCAAGTAGAGAGATAGTGCCAGTAGTTACAAACAAAGAGATTGTTTCCCTCAGTAACGCTCTAAAGAACTTACAAACACGTTGCCACTTCCACACAAATGTGCAGGATTTTGTCTGATTGCTGCTGAAGTCTCGCTCCTATCTGAACACTGCGTCGGCCCCTCTGCTCCCCTCTCTGTCAGAGTCACTACATCTCTAACTGTTATTCACCGACGTTCAGTTAAATCCTTTTAGCACCTCATAAGATACACGCGTTACATTAGTGTCAGAGACAGCGATGTCACCCGAGCGGCTGACTTCCAACTGTCAGCATCATATAACTACAAAAACATGATGTCCATAAAACGTCCTAAATGAGAAAATACAGAGAGGAGAATCACTGCACACATTTCCTCTGGATTATAAATTATAACCCAGAGGAAATATTTTATTTTGGGAAAAATCTTATTTATTGTGTCTTTCATTACTGTAAAGAGTTTGTCAAATCTCATCAGTTCAGTGACTCTTTCTAATGTGCAGGTTGGGAGGTCATTTTTAGTTGCCGTGGTAACGAAACAGGTATCGATAGCGTTTGATGTTAGTGTCGTATTGAAACTCAATTTTTTTGGTATTTTGACAGCTGTAACCCAAACCCTCCCCCAGACCTTTACACGCTGAAAAAAACGTTCCACTGTGACCGAGTCTACTATGAAGATTTCATCCATGGACGTTTTTTTGTTGAACAAAAAGGTTTACTTTAAAATCTGTGATGTTAGTAGAAAGTTTACGGACTGAGCAAGGACACTGAGAGGAACTCATGGGCGTATCACGCAGGAAACTAATGTTGAATCTTTTTGTGTACGCACCAGGTGTGCAAGACTTATTCCACTGAATAAGGGGCCATGTTTGGTTCTGGTGTCAAGGTCTTAACAAAATGTTCCTTCTTTAAAACAGGATACTTCAAACGGTCGTATCAACATCAAACTCATTCCTGTGCTCCCATTTGACATGAATACAGTAAGTGATCCTACAGCTCTGTACACATGGTGACAAATGAGGGGGCGGGGTTTGAAAAATGACACGGCGCTGCTGAGCCGTTATCTACTGGCTCCCACACAGAAAGAGGAAGTGGTTGAAGTCGTGCGGCGAGGAGTCTCCCAGAGGAGCGAGTGTTGATAACGTGTCCACGGCCGGGATGTGAAGAGAGGGAGGAGCTAAAGGGTGTTGCCACATCCATGGAATAGGAGGTCGAGTTTACAGCTCCACTTTAAAGTATATCACCCAGGTTATCGTCTGTCAGTCAGCACAGGTGGAGGAGAAGGTCGGTGTGATAATTCAGGGGGGGTAGAAATGGAGGCTGTGTGTGTGTGTGTGTGTGTGTGTGTGTGTGTGTGTGTGTGTGTGTGTGTGTGTGTGTGTGTGTGTGTGTGTGTGTGTGTGTGTGTGTGTGTGTGATACAAGGGTCCAACCAAAGTCTCGTTTTGTTTTTGTTCTGAAGTGACTCTATGAAACTGTACTTGGTGCAGGTGATAACTGGAGCAGACGTGAGAGGAAGGGGGGGGAAGAGTTGAGTGTGTGGAAGGGGGAGAGGGAAGTGAGGAAGGGTCTAATACTAGTGTCCAGGTTGCGGCCCGGCTGTCCGTCCTCAGCTTAGCTCTTCCTCGGCATTGTGCTGGTCCAGCAGTTTGACGTGTGTGAAGGGAAAGTGGCCGCGTTTGCCTTTACATTCACCCTCCCACTGGCCGTTCACGTTTATTTTGGTCACCTTCACCATGTCGCCCACCTGAGGAGGAAGGGAGAGAGGGGTTCAGCATTATGTACTAATCATCATCATCAAAAATAAAGAACATATATCATCTTCTGTGTGAAATAAGGCCTCCCTGGAGAGTATCCGGATTGCATTCAAACAAATGCCACTCGCTTTCAAATAGTAATTTTCAATGAAATGCCCGTCCCTAACTTTGACCCCCAAATGATCAGTTATAGGGTCTAGCTAAAGAAAACTGGAAAAACACCTTAAACTTAAATCTCAGTTTAAGACTGAGATTGTATCTAAAAAAAGCTGAACCCCCTGAGGACCCATGCGAAAAAATTTACATAAATTTAAATCCTATCAGAATATGCCTATAGACTTATTCTGTACAAAATAACACTTGTATATATTTTCCAGTAATGTCTGAACATGATTTTATTTAATATGTGCAGATGTCATTTTTTACAACCTCAGGTCAGACAGAGCCTCGAGCCCCCCTGAGATCTCAGGTGCCCCCTCTAGAGGGGGCCAGACCAGAACCAGTGCTTTAGAGGATACATGCCGTGTCAATATGGGACATAATATATATATTTGGTATCTTACCTTTTTTTAATAATGTTTTTTAGACTGATTACGGATTAGTTGATTCCATTTTAAACAAGTGAAGTGTAAGCCCTAGGATTTGGTGCTGGCTTGAAGATTACAAAGGTTGACCTGGTCAGGTAGAGGAGTGGCTCTTCCTGAGTCACTGAACCTGAGCAAACAACCACTTACAGTCAGTTACAAAGTTCAAGCCCCTGTGTGTGACGGCTGAATCAGAGGTTAAAGCTGTGCATGCATGTTTAAAGTTTACGCTCTTGTAAGACTCGTAGTATCCGTTTGATCACTCAGAACCAGTTACGACGATCTTTCATTGGTTGTGACCGGCAGCTGTTATACGACTACAGATCTCTTGATGATACGAGACCTTTATTAATGCATTTTCATTTCATACCAGGAGATACAGCGGAACAGTGCATACTTAACATGTATGTGAATTTAGTTCATATAGTGATTCAATCATTCGCTGCATAAAGATGTTTAAAAAAATAGATAAAATGCCAAGAAGGTGTTCATTTGGAGTTCAAGAGGGAACAGGGACGTGATTTACAAAGGACAAAAATATTGACTTCATTGGACACTATTTATTAAGAATTCCTTAAAATGATGTAAAAGCAAATTTGTTCCAAACTAAAAGTTGTAATATAAACATCATGTATTTCCAAAGTGATTTTGATGACACTACACCTATCCAATGAGAAGTAAGGATTGCATTTTTAGTTGCATTGAAACTTAGACAGTAGCTGTGGGATCCTATGTAAGTTGTCCAGCCTATAGAATGGCTTGTGCTGATGAGAATCAGTTTGTAGCTCACAGATGAGGGCTGAAGGATATGTTGTTTTATCATCACTACTGCGACATGTGACATGTGCTATAGTCATATCGCAGGACGTGCAAAGCCACACGTGACCTGAAGCACATCATGCTAACACTTTTCTGTTTAATGCAAACAAAAGCCGCCAAAATGTGTGTGTGTGTGTCATCTGCATGTAAACATGTGGACAGACAAGAGACGCTGCTGCTGTCATCACAGAAACAGCTGCATGACTCACAAGGCAGATCCTTAGTTACAAGAGGCAGGTTTAAAGTGAGTGAATTCCCCTAGCAGGTATCGGTTCATTAACGCTGATCGGTGAGTACGGTTAACGGAGTGGATGTGCCGCTGATTGATTACTTTCAGCATCACAGGCAGCTGAAGATGGTGAACTCTGGTTACCATCAGTGAGCTGCTCATGTAGATGTTAATATTACTTGTTTATAAAAACCTTTTAAATGTGATGTACTGAAGATAAGATTAAACTGTGTTCTTTATTCATTTCTATTTTTGTTGTTGTATTGAAACCAGTTCAGATTGTTTATGGCATTCTAAAAATATGATGGTAATGTTTAGGGACGGCAATAGCTCTGTCTGTAGGGACTTGGGTTGGGAACTGGAGTGTCGCCGGTTCAAGTCCCAATGCGGTCTAAAAATATGGAAGTCAGTCCGGTAGCTGCACAGGTGACAGGTCACCTCCCGTGATGCCCTTGAGCAAGGCACCAGATCCCCAACAGCTCTGGTGTGCTCCCTGTGCAGCAGTCCCACTCTGACACCTCTCCATTAATGCATGTTAACAGGTCCTGTTCGTGCATGTGTGTATGAGAGGCATGTCTCTTAATAATAAGAGCGTAAACTGGAATTTCCCACAGGTATTAATAAATTATGTAAAAAAAAAAAAATGTTTAGTTTTTTTTTTTTTTTAAGATGAATTAAATGTGGTGAGGCAAATGATTGTATTTAAGGAAAGTATAAACCATCATTGCTTGATTTGTTACTGTTGCACAAAGCAAAGAATCTTCACATTTGAGAACCTGAAGCTGGGGTATGTTTGGTGTGTATGTTTGAAAATAATTCATTATTAACTCAGAGTCACTCACATGCATTGCTGTCACATCATAACTGAAACTACTGGCTGCTGTGTGTTTATGTATTTTTAAAAGGTCACTCATTCATACAGGTTACAGTAACAGGATTTCAAACAGAGCAAAATAGTGCTCTTATGCATAAAGGGTTTATCTAAAGTACAATGAACTAAGCAACAGGTGTAGCTGTGGTGTAGAGGAACTAAGGATAATCACAGATTTTGGCCAAACTCAACCACCAGCTGTTACTTGCAAAACATTGAGAGAGTAAGAGAAGATCATTGTTTGATATAAAGAAACCATACACACTGAAATAATAACACTTTACGACTCATTTATGAATAAAAGACTGCAGACACTTAAAAAATATCTTTAAAAGATTTAAGTCGACCTACGTGGAGCATATTTGCACCACTTAAATGCTGCTAATTTTAGCATCTCTGTGGAGTTAGTTTAAGGTTGCACAGGACTAATACCTGTTGAGTATGTGTAACCTTACACGATAAGGACAGGAATACACAGAATGATAGTTAAAAATGTCTAGACAGAAAGTCATCTCTCTTAAGAGTGAACCGTTTACGATGCACAACCAAAGCTCACGACTGATGTGCTCAGAAGTCAAATCAATGTGTACTTGAGTTGTCTCACAGCTCAAATACAAACACTGTCAAAAATGCTTCCCTTCTCTCTCTCACACACACACACAGTAACTAGCAGCTAATTTATACATTTCCTCAGCTGGAAGTCTGCAGATATTTCCTGGTTATGTTTTTCTTTCATATCTTTGGTGATAGGAGGGGGAAGACATCAAACAGTCATACCTGCTGTTGCCATGGTGATTCAGACACCTTTTGACAGTTTGACAGCAATAAGGAAGAGGTCTGGGAATAGGCTTGTAAATGGACTTGAGCTTGTTTAGTGCTTTTCTAGTCTTCTGACTGCTCAAAGCGCTTTTACACTGCACGTCACACCTACACATTCACACACTGAAGACTGAGGTTTCTATGTGAAGTGACCATCACAAGTAATTAATCCCATTCATACACAATTCACACGCCAGCAGCGGGAGCAATTTGGGGTTAAGTGTCTTGCCCAAGGACACATCAGACATGTAGCAGTTAGAGCTGAGGATCGAACCCCTGACCTTCCAGTTGAGAGACAACGACTCTACCAACTGCGCCACAGCCGCCCCTTGTGGCTCTGCTCTCACTTAACAAGTGTGTGCAGTCGTACTACCAACATTTCAAACATATCAGAAATTCATGAACGGTGGGGGCGCAACACATTGGGTTGTGATTGGAACTCGTCAGGCTGAAATCCAGGAGATCTTTATCTCGCTCATTAGGTCAGTAAGGTGACCATTTAACAATATTACACATGTCCATTCACAATACTGAAGACTGTGAAACAGGAACCAGAGTAGGAAGGTACAAAACTTGTATTTATCTACAGTAAACTGAACACAGAAACAACTAGATGAAGAAATGACAAAAACTGAAATGAGGCCAGGGAAACTAAAGAGATTAAAGGGCCAGCGTTTTTTCTCATCATCAAGATTATTCAGACAACAGCTGTGAATAAATATAACTCATGCCATCCATCTCTGGAAAACTATGATTCTGACCATGTGAACCATTTCAAAATCCAACCTAATGTCACAACTTTAAGGTGCTCTCATCAAAACAAGTATCACATATCATTGACTTCAAACAATTACAACAGAGACACAATCCGTATGCAATAAAGAAGTTAACTCAAACTTGATTTTAAATAACTTTTCTGCTCTGAAGATAAGGGGGGGATCTTCACAATCAGAAAGGTTGAAACAAGACAAGGAAATGAGAGCTAATTATTAACTGTCCAGCAGCGCCCTGCTCAGTCACTTCTGGCCAACGAGTGCAGAGAACACATGCAGGTCAAAGGCAAAAGACTCTACCCAGGTGGGAGTGGCAGAAACCAGATCATACAAAGGCTCTACCTGAACCTACAGTAGATCATAAATGTGTTGACTTTGGTCTGAAGGGAGAATCGGGCCCAAAATCAGCCCGATTATCTTGTAGTGTGTACCCCTCTTAAGCAAGCAAAGCTATTTAAACAAAGTGTTTTTCTGGAGGAGAAATACATAATTTTTTTGTCGTTTTAATCCAAAAAGAGCAATGTTATCTTTACCGTTAGAGTCCAGCGGGGTGGGAGCATTACTCTCTGACTGAACTGCCTCAGAGCCTCACTCCAGACTCAGCTTGACTTCTGGCTTCAGAGGGAACAGAGGAAATGGTCCTGTTCCCAAACACAAACTATTTCCTTCCACCAACGACCTGCTTTGTGGGAGCCCCGCTCTTTGCTTCCGCACAGTTAAACAAGCCCAGCCACTGTGTGCAGGGAGCACGGCTTGATGGCACTTTTCTCATACGGGTACCACACAGTTACACGGATCGAAACGCACAACACTTATAATCTAATAGAACCAACCTGTCAATTGTAATGGACCACTGATGCTCTCTCTTTGGATTTGAGACTATCTATCATTATTCTAACCATGTGTGATGCTGAAAATTATTGAAAATGTTGACTACCTTTAATTGCAATACAAGTGAAGTCCAGTTTACAGCTATGGATAAATCAATCATATATTTTACATTTACTTAGGTTGTTAATAGAATGCCTCCTTACCATCCTGCAGTTCATAGTACCATGAGTATTTTCTTCAGATACAGGCAACATGTCATTTAGCCGACAAATAGACAATACTACAGGTACAGTATATTTAAGGCTGCCCAAGTATATCTCATGACAGTTAGGATGAATATTTTAGGGTAAGCGTCATCATCATCATCAGTAAGCATAGTCATATCATGCATGCCTTATAGTATCCCATAAGTGATGAAGAGACCCATGTTTTAAAAAAAGATGTTGTGGAGTTTCACATCACTGAAGCCTCTGTGTCATTGGAGAGTGACACAGGAGATGATTTACTTTTTCCACCTTGTGTTTCCCTGTGCACACTAATGCACAGTACTGGGAGAGACAGCAAGACAAACTGTTACAGATCTTTGACTCGACAACAGCTGGTGTAACATCTTCATGCCATGAGGGCAGTGGTTATGGAATAAGTAGTAATTTAATATTTAATAGACTGAAAGTACCCGAGAGAGAGGGCAGACATTTAAATTCAGACAGGAAAGGGGACGTGATAATAACCCCTCATTTAAACAATCACTCTGCTGGTTTTATGTGCATTTGGAGGTCCATGTATTGCATTTTATCATGTGGAGAGAGATTATTCAGCGGTTATTCTAAGCTCTGGACTGCAGTGAAAAGGTAAGAAATACAAAACTACTCTAAAAGGTGGTTTCTGACCTTGATGTTTCTTCACCCTGCTCCACAAACACTAAGTAGAAATCATCAAAAGCACAATGGGACAGAAAGCCAAAAGGATGTGCTGCTCCTTCTTCACTCCCTGTCGCCTTTCCTCCAGGACTTTTTGAGAGTCAAACTCACACACACACAAACAGACCCACACCACCATATTTACCTCCAGGGCCAGGGCAGTCTTGTCGTAGGCGTTGGGCACCCTCTTCTGTATGGCCCTGGCAAAGACAGGTCCATTCTGGAGGTTTGGGAGGGGGGTGGGCTGGGCGTATTGGCTCGGGTCTCCCAGCAGAGGAGGGCCAGACGGGGCTGCGGAGCCGTCAGAGTTCCCTACCATCACCATTCCTCCAGGCGCAACCCCCGGTGCGCCGGGCCCCGCCGCCGAATTCGGAGACGACGGCCGGTACTTCTCCACATACGGCACCGGGATCATCCCCGCCCGGCCCTCAGAGTTCTGGGCGTTCCACCACTGCTCCTCCGGCTTCTCCAGAACACGGAGAATGTCGCCCTTCCTAAACGGGAGATCCTCCTCGTCGTTTCCCGGGAAATCAAAAAGTGCTCGGACATACTCGTCTTCCAGGCGCGGCGGGGGGCCTCCACCGGGGCCCACGCTAATAAAGGAGGTGTGTTTGGACTTGTTGATGGGCTCTATTAAGGTAGTGGTGTCCAAGTAGTGGATTTTGTAGAATTCTAGCAAAGCAGGGAGCGCTTCAAACTCCTGGTCACCGATTCGGAACCTCGGGTGGGCCAAACCTGGTGAGAAAGGGAGGATTTAAAGAAGGAGTCAAAAGACAAAATGACCCGTGCATGTTCAAATACAGCAGATCTGATCTATTTATGCAACCAAGCATAATGGTGGTGATTTCCAGAATGACCAGGAAAGAGGTTTGTTTCCTTATTCTACATTTATTCCCATCATATTTGTCTTCCTTCCAAAGAAAGGTCTTTACCAGCATGAGGAAATACAACACATATTCTCCTGCACAGGGAAAACCCAGCCGAGGTGGAGGATCATGTCTGGTCAAGGTCTATTAAAATCTGGCAATGTGACCGGCTTTGAACATTCACAACTCTGACAGGGTAAGCAGGTAAGTGATCCTCATTGAATACAGACGACTGAAAAGGACACGCCGCCCACCTGGGTGTACTGTAGTGACAAAACGTGAAGTGACAGAGACAATTTGTGGTTTAATATCTTGTGCATTGTCTGTCTGAGAACTCAAATAAGCTGTGAAACTGTGAGCAGAAGCGTGTGTACCTTATAACAGGCCAATATTAGATAAGCACATGTTTGCATGTGGTCTGGCCTGAGAGGAAAAGGCACTATTGCGCATCTCTTTTGGTGCAAGTCACGCAAGAATGGTCACACCAGCATCCACATACCCCCTCCAAACCCCCCCCTCTGCTGTCTCACCTGGACCGGATTGTCGGTTGTTGCTGATGCTGTTTATTATGTAATGCGAGACTTTGGAGTTCTCTGATACGGAGAGCACGTAGTCTCCGGGGCTGGTGATGGAGTCCCGGACCAGGAACACGCCGTGCCTCTGCCCCTGCAGCAGAGACACAGCCTCCTGCCTGGTCAAACGACCCCAGTACCAGCTGCCGCGGTCCTCCGCGTCAAAATTTCCGGCCATGGTAACCACTCAAAGCCGAGGCTTCACCGGGGCCTTCCCTTCTCTCCCTCCTGTTCTCCACAGGCGAAGCCTTCAACTCATACAAAAACTTTAGCGCCTGGAGCACGTTTAGTAAACAGGCGACCTCCGCAGCGAGCCCTTACGACATCAATCCGCCGAAACACGACCGGAACCGTGAATGTAAAAGGACTCTGATCCGCTTTGGGACCGGAATTAAGATCCAATAATCCTGTAGTGCGTTAAAGCGGCTGATTTCCAGCTACAATCCAACGACCGATGACAACTAACTTCAAAAACTGAAATGGCGGATACGGGAAAACAAAAAAAAAAAGGACCCCACTCACCGGATGTGACGACATAATTACGTACGTAGCACCGTAAAGCTGGTTAAAAAATCATATTTACAGTCCGTGGTTAAAAATATATACAATAAAATACAATATTTAAAATTTCCTGTGGCAGCAAAAGTGAGAGAAGTTTATTTTAATTTTTTTTTGTTTGTTTTCCTCCAAAAACATTTTTTGAATTTATTACTGTAAATATTATTTATTACTGTAAATATTATTTATTACTGTAAATATTATTTATCTTATTTTACCTTATTTTATTTTATTTTTTATCTATTTTACCTTATTTTGGTTGTATTGCACCGTGGGACGGAGACAAACGCAATTTCGATTCCACTGTATGTCTGGCATATTTTGAAATAGACAATAAAGTTGACTTTGACTTTTTTTTTTTACTTGTAGTTAATTTAAATTTACTACATTTATAAGAAGAAGAAGGAGCAGACTAAACAGACATATATTTAGAAAAAATGTAATTGCACAAAACAAAAACTAACATGTTGAGACATTTCGTCTGTGATGTCATTTTTAAGTAGCTAAATCCAAAGAGAATTCTTTGGCATATTTGGATTTGCACATTTTTATATTCTTAATGACCTTAGACATGGTATTGGTGTTCATTATGTTATAAACTATAATCTACCTTTGTGAGTCTCTACGGGGGCCCAGAGCGGACATAAATCAAACGACATATTTTAATGCATTTCCCCCGATCTTGGTTTATTTCTCTCATTATCTCTAGATAACACACTTTTTGTCCTAGGATAAAGAGATGAATAAGTTTAGAACTTGAGAAAACAACTAAAATGTACTCTATATCACGGTAAAAATACAAATACAAACATGAAATACAAATACAAATATGATGTCTGCTTGGGCGTCGTAGGCTATTCATTTGAGATTTTCAGTAAACATGCTGAAAGTGTATGTATGGATCACTTAGGGCTTCCAATGGATGTTGTGTCATATTCATAAATAATAGTAACAGAATCTGTTATCACAACATACAGTTCATGTAGTGAGTGCCTCAATACTATAAGCCTATCATTTATAATCATTGAATTAAGTTTAAATATGCCAATAATATTTATTTCTTGTTAAAGAAAACTAAAATTTGCTATTGTTTGACAGCTACATTTTTTCTCCTGATAATGTTGGTACACTTTTATTCCATTTTGACAAAGCCCAGTGCTGTTTGCATCAATGCTGTATTTACACTATGGTCATTTTTTATTTAGGCTACATTCTGCCCCCAAAGGATCTTTTCAAAAACAAAACAAAAAACACACTCTTGCATTAAACCAGTAAAAAACCGCTAGACTGCAATTTGATAACTTGGCCACTAGGTGTCAGCCAAGTGCTGTTAGAAATCAGTAATCATTTCAATATCTATCTTGTCAAACATATCTGTTGTTGTTTGAAGTCAGCCATCAGAATCCTCATTACATTAAAAGAGGACTAACAAAAATGAAAGTTATAAAATCTATTTTTAATCATTACATTTATGAAACAGTTAGCCAGTCACTGGTCAACATGACAACCTTTGAAAATGATTTACAGGTTGTAGATTTGTTCATGGTTAATACTCGACTAAATGCCCTTATGATCAAATTATATAAACAACCTATGTTTGCATTCAACATTTTAAACTTATTAAAACATTAAATCAAAGGCTGTTGGGCTTTTATTTGAATATATTTTGCTTTTGAATGTCTTATTTTTGATTAATGATTTTTCTGTTTTAGCACTGTAAAGCACTTTGAGTTGCGCTCTATAAAATACTGTATCTCGCCTATAAAGGCTGCACACCTAAAGAGACACTCTTAGCTTATTTGTTTTGTAAATTAAATCAGGATAAACTTTTTCCAATTTAGCCTTTATTTAACCAGGATTATTACCATCCAAATATAAAAAATATCTTGAGTCATGGCAAAGATGTCAACACTTAAGTTACACACAAATAACAATAAAGGAATTTAATACATAACAAAACTAGATAAATCAATAGGCAGTTAATCATGTGCAATATGATAAAAATGCTCAAGTTTAAGGTGAGTCTGTAGCTGAGACCAGGGCTTTGGGAACTGACCTAGACTACGGTCGCCTCGAAAGGTCAACTGCAAAAACATGTCACTAAACCATTCAACTTTTCAGTTTGGGCAGAAGTATTTAATGAAATGCAAAATTATTTTACAAAATGCAAATATAAATGTTTCATGGAACGGAAACATTAAAATACTTTTTTGTTTTGTTTCTTGAAAACATTTTTTTCTGTTTAATGTTTTTCATGTTTTGTTAAATTACTTTGCAGTTTTCCTTCAGGGCCACCGTATCAAAACAAGATGATTGAACAAAAACATTGATAGCTCTTTTATTTATTTTTTAACTTAAGAGTGAGTTTTATTACATGAGTCCATGAGAGGGAAGGGTTCAGCTTCTGACAGATTCAGGAGTCAGTGAAGAACAGAAATAAGAAAGCAGGTCATGTCATTTGTCCTCGTAGAGAAAGGTGAAACAATGATCCATCCTTCTCCTTTATAAGGAAGACAGACCTTCTTTTTATATGGGATAGACACCATTCTTCTACTTGAAAGTTTAGTGTGCTATCAGGTCAACTTTAAAACAACTTTTTCAAGATGGAAGTTAGAGATTGTTGCTTTACTGAAGAATAATAAGAAGCCCAAACGACTGTTTTAAAAAGAGAAATGAGCAACAGCTGAATGTGTGGAAGCTGATAGATGCTGCTCCACATCGAGGCACCCACTCTCTATGTGACCGACGCCTACAACTTTCAAACAAAGAAAAAATACAGGATTTTTTTATATGATAGAATTTATTGGGACCCAAGACAAAAAAAAGAGTACTTGTTACAATTTCATCTGTAAATAAAAACCCAGAACAATATTCTCAATGGATCAATAAAATGTCATGACAATAAAAGATCCATGGGAGCTTTGGTGAAAGAGGAGAAGATGAAAAGACTTTACATTAAGAAACACTTTTAGAAGACGTGGAAAGAAAGAAAAGGTCCAAGGCTAAGACAGCTTTTAGACTCTCATGTTTTTTTCAGTGTATAAGCAGCGTCCTTGAGCAGAAAATACACGACATCCTCACATCTTCTGCTCTCGAGAGCATTCATATCTTCTCCTGCTTTGAGTCCAAAGAGAACACATCGATGCTCTTGTGTCTTAAAGGACAGGATATTCTGCCTAGGGTGATGTTTGCTGCAGGTATTTTAACTTACAGAGGAATATAAGAGAGAAAAACAACACATAGAGATGTAGATCAAATATGTTCATATGTGGAGCTGCAGTGAATAAAGTAAAGAAGGGCAAAAGGGGAATGATGACACAACATTCCAAACCAACAAAAGAGGAATTCCGATGAGGTAAATCTTCCTTTTATGTAAGCTTTTTTAAACAAGTTGTTGTGTTGCAAACTACAGCAACCCGTTTCCAGAAAGGCTGCCAGAAATATTTCTTCATACTATTTGGAAATGACATTTGAACTTTTCTATCCATCCATCCATCCATTACCTTTACCGCGGGGGGGCTGGAGCTGATCCCAGCTGTCATTGGGCGAGAGGAGGGGGTACACCCTGGACTGCCAGTCAATCACAGGGCTGACATACAGAGACAGACAACCAGACACACTCACATTCACACCTACGGACAATTAAAAGTCACCAATTGAACCTAACAAACATGTGTTTGGACTGTGGAAGTATAAACTGGAATCTCTCACCCAGTCTGATGCTGTCTGACATACGGCAAGTTGTTTTAAAATTTATCAAAAGTGCACTGGTTCAGATTTAGATTTCACATGTGGAAATAACATTCACACTGACAAGAAGGAAATAACATGTTTACAGAAGTCACAGTTTATTTTTTCTTGTACCAAGATGATTATGCTGTATTGTCTAGATCCAGTATCCAGAAAACAAGGTTTGGTTGTGTAAACTGCTGACGGCTACCGATGGCAGCCTGCCGCAGGAGACGGATGGAAGGTCAACCTCCATCACAAGATTAAAGGTCAGGATGTGTGTTGAAGCAGGAGACTAAAATTATTTATTCTATAAGCAGAGCATAATATATCATTTAACATTATTCACTAGCTAAATGAATAAAAAGGCCATGTAGCTTTATGTAAATTGTGTTTTGTTGATATAACCGTTATTAAACTGTTTATTGAACATAAGAGTGATCAGCTGGGCATGTTAGCCAACTTAAGCTAATGTAACCCGACTTACACAACATGAACGGGCAAAGCAGTGTCAGGTGTCCACTCATGTTAACCAGCTTGTGACTGACACACCAGAGAAAAATACATTCTGAAAATAAATCTTTAGCCTGATGTCTTAACTTCGCTAATGAGCGGGTTGTGAATTTAATTTATTTTCAGTCAGGAGGATGTTACAGTTGAAATTGTGGAATGTACTGTACCTTTAAGACATACTGTGTTGCTAAGTTACTGGGGGAGCAATATAACTAGACAGCACCTTGTTTTTTTCATTGAAGTTTAGTCTGAGTGGCTCTTCTGCCATGGACGGATGCCTGGTACCGAGCTCCTACTTTCTTTTTGCCTCTCAGCTCAACAGTGACCTAATGGTTCATTCAAACACTAATGGCCGTACAAATGGGCTTTGTAAGGTTGATGTGTAGTTTGTAATAAACGACGTGCAAGACACATGTGGTTGTGCACTTTTGGCTAACTTACTGTCTCAGACAAAAACACCATTAAAAACCAAGAGGCACAGACACAAACCGTTACAAGGAAAGAGAGTCATGATTGCTATATTTCCATCCCTAAGAAAGAACCAGCTACCTTACGCATTGCAGGTAGCCAGGCTGATGAAACTGTTCAGAGCGTTTTCATCTAAGCTCTCAACCCAGGGCAGCTGTAGTGCGCTCCCTGCCTAGCAGTCCCACTCTGACATCTCTCCATTAATGCATGATGAAAGGTTATGTTTGTGCATGTGTGTATTTCAGGCCTATGTGTCTGAGAAGCATGTCTCTCAATGACAGAGTGTAAAAAACTAATTTACCTGTACTTACAGGTGAATTACCTGTGATCGGTGAAGTGAAGTGAAGTGTACCGGCAAAGCTGGCCTTTGGACGTTGAGAGCATGCAGTTAGATTTGTCTGCAAAATCCCCAAAGTTAGGATTGAAGTCTGTCCCCCCATGTGCAGAGCAAGACCTCTAAAAAAAGAATGATTCGTGATGCTGATAGGTTTGAACAAATCACTGTGGAGAGTTGATTAAACTGTGTTGTTGTGGTGGTTTAAGTAAGAGTATGGCAACTGTGGTTTCTATAAACAGAAGAAATAAAAATACCAATGAAAAAGTGTATTCAAATGACACAATCTCTACAACATGGTTGATAAACCCAGAATGACATTAATCACTTAATGACACCAAAGACCTCAATTAACAAGGCACTGTCTGTCTTTGACGTGTCCTCTTTAAAGGTGCTCATGTGGGAGGAGCATGCTCTTGTGCTGCATGCTTAATGCCTACCTCAGCTTGACAAACAATTCTTATGCCATACTATCTAAATTAATATAAAAATATGCATTTAGTCTCCAATAATTAAACAAATAGAACTGTATGAAGTCACACAAAGAATTTACTTGAATAATTGGCGCACTAGTCCAACTTGTACTTGTCCTTGTGCTGACTTTCTCTCTCACTGCAGCTTCTCAACACATGCTCCTCTGTCCTTTAGTTTACCCTCGGTCTGGAGTCGATAGTCTTAAAGGGGCAGACGCAGAGGACAGTCTTAAAGGGGCAGGCTCCAAGGGCAGTCTTAAAAGTATGGGGGGGGGGGCTTTTTACACAAAAGAAGGATGGATGAGAGGAAATTAACAGCGCAGGTTCAGATGGCCTGTGGTCAAAGTGTGTTCATTTAAACTTTGTCATCTATAGGAGCGATGCCTGATGATGTGTTGCAACTGTAACACACTGAAAATGCTTTTTTTCTGTCATTTTGTTTTATCAGTGTGTCTAGTTAAACTAATTTAAGTTCTAACATGCCCTGCTAATTTAAGAAGTATTTAAGTTAATTTACATTTCTAAGAGTAAACAGTAAATACTGTGTGTGTTATCTACCTTTTAAGATGAAGACACTGGCCCTTTAAGGGAGGCTCAGTGAAGAAGGCACAGAGGTGTGTGTAGGCTAAAAAACGAAGCTTGTGTAAAGCTGTGGGGCATTTCTTTAATAAAAGTTGCTAAAAGTGAAGATGGACGAGTTCTGACCGGTTCATTTCAAGGGTGCAACACAACAAAAATAATTACCATTTCATTTCATTTTTAATGAATGTTTTTGTACCTTTTGGGCAGCTTTTCATATCAGTAAAACTCTCCCCTTCACAGAGAACTCACAACACATATGACACGTCTCAATCCTTGAATAAAGTGGTATTCCTTTTTAATCTACGGTCCAAACAATCACTCTTGAACAGTTGAATTATTACATACTGTTTACACTCCACATCCAAAAATACAGCTTAGTTTTTTTCAGATTTTGCAGGGCATATAAAGGGAAAGCACAGGCTGGGTGACAGCTACAAACTAATAGATATAAATAGTGTCAACTCAGTGTACAGTAACAGAGTGGCCTGTGTGAAAACAGGGCTGTAAGCACATGTAGAGTACTGTGAAGTGAAATATGACCTCGATTAGGAGGAAAGGCTACTAAATATTTCTTAATGGATTCTTCAGAGGGCTGCACTACGAAGCAATTTCAACATATACAGGCTTTCTTTGTTTAGGCTGAAAACAAAAACCTCTAAAACCCAAGTCAGAGTCAACAGACATCACCTAACTGGTGATCAGCTGTTTGTGGCTGTTTTCACTCATGCACTCCTTCAAATTCTCAGCACAATTTCAGGATGTCTGCCCCTGAAATCTATGAGTTGTTTATTCACACATATGCCTGACAGCCCGAGAGTTTTTAAAACAGGAAGTGGGGCATAGGCATCCCAGGGGCGGGTTGGGGGGGATATTGGCAAGATGCTGCCAATATCCAAAAAAGCAGACGAAGCAACAGAGTCCTGTACTTTGACGACAGTTTTTGCCGTTTTATAAATGCTACGTGTCACTTGACATATTCACAGTACCAGCGAACGAGTGGTAAAGAACATAACGGTGAGCTATGAAGCGGCTTCATTACGTGCAAGAAGATTCTGCAGGATGCACATCAGTCTCAGGATATAACGTCATCACTCCTGCTCAACAGCTCGCTGGGAATTCTCCTGAATATTTTACTGCCCATCGCCTCTGACTTCTTGTAGGAATTTAACTAGCAAGGGCTGTCAGGAAAACGTTAGGGTAAAAGTTGGAGAAAAATCTTCGGCTCATCCTAAAAAAAGTTTGGGAGATTTCAGGAGTTTTTTGCATGTGTGAGAACAGTTTATGTCAACCGACTTCAGCCTCTATTCGTGCTGCAGAAAAGAGGAGTTTGACGTTGTCATTCCCCTTTTCTTCCTTGAAAAAAATCAGCAGTGGCCAGTTTCCTACATCTTTTAGACTTATAAGAAATGGTGATGAGAAATTAAAAGATATCGCTAAAAACGCAGCCCAATCTGGAATCATAAAAATTAAACGTTTGATATTTATGAATCAATATCAGGGATACCTGGACCCGATCAGGAGCAGTAAAATAATTGTAGTGACACCACATAGTTGAGGAATATATGGACAAAAATCAGTTGCGACATCTGAATTAAGCCCACAGCCCATTAATCGTTGAAGGACCCAAATTGGGCCCAAAATTGGGCATAAAATGGTCTAGTATAGTGTGAAGCCAGAAATTAGCAATTTGAGAAGCGTCTGTGTGTTCAGATTCGAAACAAAGCATAAATTGACCCTCCAGTGTCTGCAAGGTAAACACCAACATTTATTGGAAAGTGTCAGTTCATCTGTTTGTGGGGAGTCTCACTTTAACTGTAAATAGTCGGTTACACAGAGGCTTCATTTTGGGAACCTGAAAAAGAAACTGATTTTCTTGTCATTTACATGCATTTGAAATCCTGAACTGACGACTTTAGGCTACATTTCTTTTGTAGAACCTGTAAATAAAAAATGAAAGGAGAGCCAGCTGTGTGGCACTGAAAGCTCTGACTTCATCAAACCTCATTTATACCTCGCTCTCTTGTTTCGTAGTACACCCCTCAGATAAGATCTTTGTTGTGGCAAGAAGATCATCTTATCTTCCCCGGACACTTTTCACAGTTTCCTTACAATCATCAGACTTCTTACTGCATCCTTTTCTGTATCTCTTATTTGACTTATTTTGGTTTCAGCTACACTAAATTCCTCCTCCTGTGCGTCTCTCACTCACCAAATCACGATGCATCTGTTCCTTTTCTTAAGAGGAAACTAATTTCCACGAAGCGACCTTTTGATTCCCGTCTATCTTTGGAACCATCTGGCTTGTCTGTCGTCAACGTTATGTGTGGGGGAAGAAACATTTGAAACATTTTCCATTTCTTGTTTTTTTTTGGCAAAAACATTTCTTAAAGTGTTTAAAGGGCCCTGATTAGTTTGAGTGTGTCTCAGTTTTCTAAGACGCAGCAGTAAGGGGATGCGTGACAGGCACATAGGTATAGGTATTAGCAGGGTTAGCAGGAGGAAGGGACCTGAATAAAGGTTAACATTCTGTACATAAAAGCCTCATGTGATATAATTCATCAGTCTATTCTATTGTAAGCATCCTCAGTCTAATTATACTTTAAATAACATACAGTTTAATAAAACACATGTCCTGTAGGTGATTGTCTTCTCATGCCACAGTCACAGAGAGTCACCTGGATCAGCTGTCACTCTGTCAAGATCTGACCTCAGATCAGCCGAGGGAGCGGGGAGTCTTCATCTCTTTACTCAAACTTAGCTTCCTTGTTTGACTTTGAGCACGCTCAGTGTTGCACACAGAGGACTGGACGCAGGAGGGAAAACGTAAGCAGAAAGCAGCAATCAGGTGAGGTGATCTGATTGGTCGGTCACCTCGTCTAAATCAAAGTCCTCCTCCGCTCTCATCGGCTCCATTGCTCCAGAGGAGTGCTGCGATTGGCTGGAGCAGGACATGTGGGAGGATCGGCTCTGCGTGTCGTCTTCGTCCTCCACGACCGCCGCCCTCCTCCCCTGCGTCTCGTCTTTCCTCTGCACCTCCTCCTCCCCCTCCCCCCGTTGGCTTCTGCCCCTCCACCTCCCCACCTTCCTCTGCTCCTCCACCGTCCACATGCTCTCCTCCTCATCCTCCTTTCCCTGCACTTCCCGGTCAAAGTCCAGCAGCTCCTCCATCATCTCCTCTATCTCCATCTCTCCGTCCAGCTCCTCCTCCACCTCGGAGCGCAGCTCGCCCATGCTCTCAGTTCGATTGGTGTCATCCGTCTCCTCCTCCTCGCCCAGGCCCCTCAGCCTCTCGGGGGCGTCGCTGGCCTGACTCTCTCCAAACTCCAGGATGGTGGGGAGGTTCCCCTGTTTGGGACATCGCTTTCTCAGGCTGACCAGGAAGGGCTGCGGCAGGGAGAAGATGTCCACGTTGTTGCCCAGGTCGATCCAGGTCACACTGGGGAAACTGCCTGGATCCTATAGGGCAGAGAAAGTTTATTGTATACTTCAAAATAAAAGTAACCATCATCAACATCATCTTCAACTAGAGCTGCTGCCTCAGAGGTGTTCACATGGAAACACAAAAACGTTCAAACTCATATTCTGAGTGTTTAACGTTACCACTTTTGCTGTTAGCATTGTTATTCACAGGATGTATGTACCTGCTGCTAAAATGTTCATTTTTTAAGGCCAATTATTATAGATTTTTTTCCCCATGAATGTACCATCCTCAAATGTTACTAACAACCTTTTAAAACTTCACATACCTTTCTTAAATCTCCAAAAGCATGTTTAGAAAGTGACCTCAATATCACAAACATGTGACAACTAGCCTGCCTAGCCTTTAGCATGTGACTAGCTCAGTTGTAAAAATCTTATGAGGAATGTGTTGTTTTACGAGGGATGAGATTCATCCGTTTTTTTCCAGAATTCCGGATTTTTTTTCTCTTCAGAAAAATAGTCTATGTATGACATTTACAGATATTACACCAATATGTGACTTTCTCACCTTTAGAGCATCTGTCAGCTCCTTCAGGACGGCCCTGGTCAGCCTGTTTCCGTTCAGTGCGAGCGTCTCCAGGTGCGGCAGAGAGGCCAGCGTTGGTAGGAGCAGCAGGAAGGCCTCGTCCGTCAGCTCGGTGAAGCCCAGCTCCAGGCTCATCATGTTGGAGGCGTGATGCTGCAGGTGTGCACACAGACGCTCCATGTCCCGAGCCGTCAGAGGGATCCCGGAGAGGTCCAACGCTCCACTGGAGGGAGGCGCCGACAGCACCGCCTTAAAACTGGAGGGGGGGAAACATTGTCAGACTGGGCTATTTTTTAAAGCTATCGTTTGCATTTAATCTTATTGTCTTTTTTTTAGAAATAATAAATGATGGGACTGCACATTTTGCAACATTTCAACCTCTCATAAAAACCTGCATTTTCACACTTCTCAAAATGAAACAAGGGTCACATGGTAATGTTTCTGTTTCCATGTTTGCATCTTATTGGCTGAAATGTACTCACTGTGAAACACCCACTACAGAAAACATTAAACAATATGTTGTTTTACTCACTTTAATATAACTCACTGTTTGTTTCTGTGAGTGTAGGTTCTGACTTATGTTCCCAGTTTTGGGTTAAACAGTTCTAACAGCTTGTTCCAGCAAAGCTTGAAGCACAGCCCCACCTCCTCTGGTCACTACTTGTCTTTATTTGGGAAGTCTTTTCAACCAAACCAGAACAAGGTTTTTTTTTTTTTACTGAACAGTATACCACTATGATTATGACCTCATGAGGGACAAAATATGTTAGAAAGTGAAGCCAGCCTGGTCCACATTGCTTTGTATCCCAGCACAATGATAGGGGTGAATATTCAATTGCATCAGGTTGCATGCAGTGGGTGATTGCGGTTGCTAAACTTGCAGTCACACTAGGGGGTCCAGGTGTCTCACTTTGTGCAGGACTGCACAGCATTTTCATCACTTGAACCGCATCCCACAAATTGAGACGACGTCCTGCATTTGATTGGCTCTAGTTTCCAAAGTGCGGGACAGTGGCCCCCTTTTAAAACATGGCTTTTATCCAATGGCTGTTTAGAAAGCAATAGGAGGCTGTCACCATGGCCTGTTTCAGCTGTCAATCAATCAGCTCACACACGGGGTCAAGGGCTCGCCAACCTGTCACCATCCTCGTTGCCTGCGTTACGCCCCACTGCCACAAAACTGAGAAACGAGCTAGCAGGATGCACTTTTGGGTGGAATGTAATGGAAACTATGCGGCAAAGAAAGGAGATGCAGCTACAACAGAGTCTGGGAAAGGATTTACCCTTGGATGAAGCAGGAGGAGGGCAATTCCCAGGAAGTTTTTTGAAACAATGTTTGACAAACAAGTTTTATCCCACATGGTGAATACTCTGCGCAAGACTCATACAGAGAAATGTCGATCTATGAATACCTTCCTCCTGACACTAGAAGAGGCTTGCCAATCAAATGAGCAGCTAAAATAACTACTGTTCACCAAACTGTGCAGCACCCGCAATCAAACAGGTCAGCAGACTGTGGTTCTGCTCATTTGTACAGACCTTAGTTAACCCTCCTACAATGGGCCGCATCCCACATACTCAGCTCTGCTGCTCATCCCACAAATGCATATTCCTTACAAATGTGGCACCATTTAAAAGGGAAATAAACAGGCTTTCCAACGGTATAAGACTGATTGTCAAGAAGCATTGTCACAACAAAGAAATAATCTACCAAACACAAATTTCCTTACATTTTGTGTAATGTTTATAATAAATGCTACACCTTTGGCCCTGTTTCCCTGCAATATCACCTGTGTAAACAAAGACATACTAGCAGGCTTTTGTTTTGGATACTATGTCGGTAAAACAGTAAAACTTAAATTCCAGTCCCTCACTATCATGGATCCATGAAAAAAATAATTAAAAATGATCTCATACTACAATGGCAGTGTATTCAAAAAATGTAGTTTCAATGGTAGTCAATGGCACAAAAAAATGATGAAGGACTAAAGGTGTGATTATTATTTTTTTAAATAGTGTATAAAAGAGTTGAGAAATAAATGTTCATGAAATTTTAAAATTCACCCCAAAATACACACCTGTGGCAAAATTTATGCCATATGAATCAACACAGCCAAAATGATCCACCAAAAAACTGTCTTTAAATGTCAAAAAATGCACTAGGACTACAGGAGGGTTAAAGATGTGTTTGCCTCTGTTGAGATATGCACAACATGCAAAGTGTATGCAACCAAATCAACCTGTGGAAAAGCATTGTAGATATTTATAAGCTAATGGTTTCAATAGAGTTTTTTATTTGGAAATTATATTGATCTCTAAACCACCTCTTGGCATTGTGGTAACATGTCCCACATTATCCCGTCCAAACATACTCTTTGTCCCACATGTAGCCTGTTGGCATCTGGTCACCCTAGATGGCTCATGTCTCAACATTTTGTACAGTATTTTTATACTGTCCGGTATATAGGACACAGCCCACTTTTTGAAAAAAGTCATTAAAAGTGCTTCTTATACACCAGATTGTATGAAAAGTGAAAAAGATTGTTCCCAAAAATGTACTTCTATTCTATTCGGTGGAAACTTAGCCATATCAGTGGCAGTCTACACAGCATGTGACACTATGCACAGAATGCACTGTACCATGGCAGCTAATGGAAACTACATCAACGCAGAGAGAGAGCGCCATAAACAGCAGCAGGAGAGCTCTGGGGACACACAGACAAAGACAGGCACCAAAGGGATTAAGAAAGTGTGGTTCGGGGAATGAGAAATGGCTGACAGGAAGCAAAATACTTCAAGCTATGCTCCCAAACAAAATGGTCCGAGCTAAAAATAAACCCAGCGGGGCGCCTGGATTTAACGGAGTATTAAGTGAGCTGAGCACAAAGGGCTGATCTGAGGTCTGGTCCTTAAATAAAGAAAAACTGAGATCAGAAGTTGAATTTCCCCATCTCATAACAAAGATAATAACTGCCAAATAACACACCAACAATGTTTAGAGACAGAGAGGAGGACTTGATTCAGGATTAGTCCACTCGCAGCAAATCTAGCTACTCCCCAAGCGGCTAAACACCCACAGACCAGAGACCTAACAGTACAAAGAGGATCACTGAAAGAACGTTTCAGACTGTAGGATTCGACTCTTATCCTCAGTAAACAGCTGAATATATTCATCTCTTTCACATACCAGAGAGACTTCACAGGAATGTAGGCCGCAGCAGCCCAAAGCAAAGCAAAGCGTTGGTCAAATTTAGCCCTCTATAAATGTTTTAGTCACATTCCCAAAGGGTTAAAAAGTGGGGTCGGTTACTGACTTAGATTGTGGGGACACAACATGCTGTCAATGTACTTCATCAGTTGAAAACTTCATCCCCAGATACTGTCTGTTTTTCATAGCAACTGTACGTTCTTCTTGACAACAGTGATCAATCCAGAGATAGCACACTGTTGCTATAAGTCAACGGCCAATCAGAATCAAGTATTTAACATGGCTGTGTAATAATGGTTAAATAATCTTGCAAAGATGGAGTGAAAATAAAAGGAAAGTGAGACATATACCACCTCCCAAACACCACGTTTAAAAGGTTTTTTAAAGAAATATTGGGACAAGAAATGGTAACAGTTGGAAACACATGCAGATCCTCCACATGCAAACAGTTTGCAAACAACGGGCTGTAGACGCTAGTAGAGACAGATTTGCTCAAAATCCAGGAATATATCTGTACTTTGTCAGTCAACATGGTTCTTTGGCTTCTTACAATGCCTTTAGCAAATTCCCCACCCTCTGTTTGTCAACAAATGCACAGAGGTGTTTAATGACAGTGCTGTTTCATTTAGAGACCTCTGGTGTGCGCCAAAGTGCACCAACCGAATCCCTATCGTTGCTTTAATGGATGGATGGATGAGAAACAATGGGTTTTTTTTACTAGTTTCCCATTCCCATGATTTTGTTTTTGTCATATAAAACTTCACAACAAGTTGCTTCTTGGAATCAAAAAGAAGCAGGAAAAAAACCACCTTGAAGCTGATTAGGCTGCCTGTCACTGTCTGGGTAAGCGTTTAAAAACCACTTCCCTCAGAGACCCTGGAGGTTTTTGTGAAACCAGAAGCCCATTTCATCATTTGTGAGTGAAATTGTGCTAATTGGTTAACGCAGCTGCTGCGGCTCTGCCCTCGTCTCTCCATTACACTCTCCATGAGACCGCTGATCTAATCTTCTCCTCCTGCGCTCGGCTGCTCCTCCCTCTCGTAGCACTGCTACGTCTGGGTTACATCACACCGTCACACAGCTCAACCTGCTTCTCTGCTTCTTCTTCTGGTGAGTCATAAGCATGGTGGAAAAAATGTTTAATTGGACTTCTTTCCCATGCTTCATCCCCCCTCCCCCTTTGAATCCACCACTACCTCCAACAAGTCTCCGCCCTGCACATTTTAAAGCAACAAACAAAACAGACGAGTGCAGGGTAAATAGAAGGAGATGAGACGCTGAAAGCTCATGATATGTTTGGCTTCAGACCAGAATCCCACGCTGCAAAGAGAGGTCATCTACCCCATTCTGGACTACGACCCAGCAGCTCATAATGGGAACTAGACTACAAAACAGGATTCACAGTTAGCAAGGTAACTTCAGGGTTAACTCTAGGTTAACTCCTTAACAGAGGCGGTTAGACTGTTACTGGGGCAGATCACCATGGCAACTTATGCTGAAGACCTGACCTGCTCTGGTGCACGCTACTTGTGAGACTCTCTGCATATATACTGACCAATCAGATCTCTGTTCTATTTGCCATGCACCTTAACAGCCTCTGCACTACATCACTTTATTCTATCCATTTTATATCAGTATTCATACAGTTCTGGTTAATTTATTCCTGTTGTTTCTTATCCATCATTGCACTACGGTCACTTTATTTATTTCATTTTTACCTTACAGTTATATTGTATATATTAGTTCTGTTGTTCCATTATTCACCATGCACCTTATAACTTATAATTTAGTATTTGCCTACTTGCACATAGCTCTGTATATATATATATATATATATATATATATATATATGTATTTCTTGTTTACTGCACATAGTTCTGTTTACATCTGTTAGTCCGATCACTGTCCACTTATATCTACTCTTTTTATATTTTGTATTTTAAGTTAAGCTTTACGTTGTATTTAAATTGACACTTTATATTTTAGGTTTAAAATGTTTCATCTACCAGCACTGTTGTTGATTTTTGTTAATTTACTGTTGTGTGTGA